TGCGAGCTCCTCCCCACATCCAGTACGCGCCGAGAGCTCGAGGGCGTGCTCAGGGCATTGCAGACGTTCGCAACCCGAATTGCAGGTGCTCACGTCCTCGTCCGGGTGGACAACCAGGCTGTTATGTTCATATTGCGCAAAGGGGGATCCCGTCAGGCGGATCTTACGTTGACATGCCAAGCGATAATCCAGTTCTGTCTAGGCAACACAACACGCCTCGCCATTGAATGGATTCCGAGAGCGCTCAACGCCCATGCGGATGACCTATCCAAGCTGCAAGATCATGATGACTACTCCCTACATACGCCTTGGTTTTGCCTCCTAGAGCGTCGTTGGGGGCCGCACACGATTGATCTATTTGCTAACGCTTGGAACAATCACGTCCAACGCTTCTGCTCTAAGATTCCGCACCCCGACGCGTTTGCCGTCGATGCATTTTCCAATTCTTGGAAAGGCGAGAGGTGCTTTGCCTTCCCGCCACCACACTTAGTCCCCGCTATACTCCGCCATGCCGAACTCACACAGGCGGAACTCACATTGGTACTTCCCCAGTGGACTGGGGCGTCATGGTGGCCGCTTCTCAAACCATCCGCTCACTCGTGGGCCCCGGCGGTAGTCGCGCACCTCTCCCTTGCCCAAGGCAGCCAATGCCTTCGGGCAGGCTCACACACCACTGCATTTTCCGGTCTCGGATTGCCTCATAGCCCAATCATTGCTTTGCGTGTTAACTATGCAATCTAATAAAGATCACAATTTCTCAATGTGTCATTTCAGGACTTTTGGCCAAACTACAGCAACAATTGATGCACGTAATTAGCCATGTTCGCGCACCATCTACAATCGAGACGTACCAACCTTATTGGCAGAGATTTCGCACATTCTGTACCCAAGTTAAGCTCGACTTCCTACCGGCAACCGACCTGACGCTAGCGCTGTATCTCATCCATGCGCTCAACAACAAGGCAACTCTCTCTGCGATCAACCTCACGTGTTCGGCAGTAGCCTTCGCCCACCGCATGACAGGCGAAGCCTCCCCCACGGTGGGACCATTCACCCTGCAAGTGCGAGAGTTCGCCAAGCGACATGACCCTCGGCCTGCCAGGACCAAAGAACCTATATCTCTCCATCAAGTACACGAAATGGCCCGTCCCTTCCTCGAATCATCGATTCCTGCGGAATTTCAGAAAGGATTGATTCCTCTTCTCATGTTTTCTGCATTCTTGCGCTACTCCGACCTCGTCTCGCTCCAATGGAATGATGTACAGTTTGAGGAGAAGGTAATGTGGCTGCTCATCCCGCATTCCAAGACGGACCAGGAAGGGAGGGGTGTCTGGATCCCCGTGGCGGCAATTTCAGGCCCATACTGCCCGGTGCGGTGCACACGCAAATTCATACGCATCGCAGGTCTCACAAATGTGCCTCATGGACCGCTGATAAGGGTTTTCCCAAAGCACTCCCAAGCCACACCGGACGACAAATCGCCATCATACGTCACGATCAGGAACTGGTGTCTCGCGGCCGGCAGGCAGGCTGGACTGGATGTCGCGCACATCGGAACCCACTCATTCCGCAAAGTTGCAGCCACGGCGGCGGCAAGCCTCGGAGTTCCTGACCGGCTCTTCAAACGCATGGGCCGATGGCGCAGTGACAGTGCAAAGGAGATGTACGTTACAATAGCGCAAGATCAGCTCATCTCCCTCTCTACGCAATTGCAGGATCCTTCGACGGCTCCCTCGCCCGCTACGCATCAGCTGTCAATCGAACGACACCGCCAGCCCCGACTGCACCTGCCTCAGAAGACCCATATGAAATGATAACGCTGCCTTTGCAAGATGATCTAAGTACACTTTCACAATATGATAATTTTTGAAAGTGTAATGAAATGTAACACTTTCTAAAATTTTGTATTGTGAAAAGGGGTACGTGGCCAGCACAGCAAAGGTAGCGCCGAAGCGCTACTCGCCCTCTTTTGCCTACAAAAGAGGGACGTGGGGACATTCGTCCCCACCCACGTTTTCATTTCTCAGTTTGTAGTTCTAATTTCCCACCCGCCCACCCATTTGTGTATGCTGTTACGTAGACCTATATAGGACGAGAACGATGTACTAGAACCCATATGAAATGATAACGCTGCTTTTGCATATGAAATGATAACGCTGCCTTTGCAAGATGATCTAAGTACACTTTCTACACTTTCACAATCAATCCCATGGGTTTAGGATATGGTACCGGTTCATTAGGATACGGAGCTGGACTCATACGAGCTCACTCCCACCAGCCACTCACACTAGCTAAGCATCTCATTGAATGCCCACCGGCTTTTGAGGCGCCTCAAAAAACAATCCCATGGGTTCAGGGTACTACCTCTCTCACAAGCTCACTCCCACCAGCCACTCACGCTAGCTAAGCATCTCATTGAATGCCCACCGGGCTTCAAGCTTGGTTCCCGCCTGCCTGCCTCAACCTAACTCATCGCTTTCTGCCCCCCAACCCTTACCCTCATCATCACCACCACCAGCAGAAACCCACCATGCCGCCCCATCTTGGTAGTTTCAACTCTTTCTCCTCCCCTCCCTTTACCCCCTCACTCCTCATGCCCCTAGCTCATCACTTGCTGCCATGGTCACTCACTCCGAGCATCTCCATAAACGCTCGCCCCCGCTTCTCTCTCTTCCGTTTCCTCCTACCACCCTCACCCTCATCATCATCACCACCACCAACAAAACCTGCCCCGCCTCCCCCTCTTGGTAGGCTCTCCTCTTCCTCCTCCCCTCTCCTCATACTAGTTGGTTTGTCAGAAGTTTCAAAACCACCACTACCCGCCCTGCCTCCCCTTCTTGGTAAGCTCTCCCCTTCCTCCTCCCCTCCCCTCAACTCCAAACTGCCATTTCTTTCCCTCACCACCATTCTCAACCCCTGTGCAACCCCTTCTGCCCCTGTTTCAGCTGCACTGTTTCCAGCTGCTTGTTCCTGAGCCTCCTCCTGTAGTCTCTTCTTTTCGTCCCTCTTTCTCTTCCCCTCCCTCACTTTCTTGCCCTTCCTTTTTCGTGGCCCCTCCTCCCTCTCCTCCCCCTCCTGTTTTCCTCCCTCTTCCCTTTCCCCCCTCCCCTCTTCCTCCAAACCCTCGCTCTCTTCCTTCCCCTCATCCCTTTCCTCTCTCTCTATCTGCTCTTTCTCCTTCTTCTCCCCATCCTTATCTCTCTCCCCTTCAACCTCCCTCTCCTCCTCCTCATTAGCCTGAATCTCATTCACCGACGACTTCCGCTTCCTTCCCTTCCTCTCTTTCCTCTCCCCACCCAAACTCTGCACCCCTACATCCTCCCCACCATCCATCCTCTCAGCGCCACCACTTCCCTCCATATCCTCCCTTCTCTCCTTCTCTTTCCTCTTCTTCTTTCCCTTTTCCTTCACTCCCCTCTCCTTCTCATCGCTCTTAGCCCTTTTTGACTTCGATTCACCCGCCTCTCCTACCAATTCACCCTGAATGACGTCACTGTCCTTACCTTCCTCACCAGTCTCGCCCCTAGTACCTTTCTTCATCTTCTTACCGCTTATGCCAACTCCTTCAGCTGACCCTTCCCTAGGTGCATCACCGCTGCTCAATGCCGCTGCTGCTGTTGCTGCTGCTGCTGCCGCCGCCGCTGCTGCCGTCGCTGCTGCTGCCGTTGCTGCTGCCGCTGCTGCTGCCGTCGCTGCTGTTGCCTCTCCTTTCTTCTTCCTTCCTTTCTTGGCCTTCACAGCAGGAGCAGCAGCAGCACCACCACTACCCACACCAGGATCATCAACAGCAGTGCCAGCAGCAGCACCATCAGCAGCACCAGCAGCAGCATCACTCCTCGTCTCATGCTTTGGCACAAGTGGTGGCGGCACCATCCTAGGTGGAGGCTGTTGAGTCGACTCAAACGCCAACGCAGCACCAGCAGAAGCACCAGCAGCACCATCACTCCTCGTCTCATGCTTTGGCACAAGCGGTGGCGGCACCATTCTAGGTGGAGGCGGTCTGTTTGCAATGGCAGACTCAAGGCGGATCAACCTAGCCAGCAGGCTGCTGCTACCACTACCAGTAGAAGCAGCACCACCAGCTGTAGGCAGTGCGGGCGTGGTGAGAAGGTAGTGAGCTCGCTGAAAGGCAAGACGGACCTGGGGGGAAGGGAGGGAGGAGAGGGGAAAGAGAGATGAGGGGACATTTGTTGTGGTGGCTGTCGGTTGGATATGGCAGACTCAAGGCGGATCAACCTAGCCGGCAGGCTGCTGCTAGCACTGCTGGCAGAAGCAGGAGCAGCACCAGCAGCATTGGTTTGGGATTGAGAGCGATTGGAGGTGGGGAGTGTGGCGGACCTGAGGGAAGGGAGGGAGGAAAGAGAAGATGATTGGGGTGCCTCAAACATAAAGGAGTGTGGGCGTGGTGAGGAGGTAGTGTGCTCGCTGGAAGGCAAGGCGGACCTGAGGGAAGGGAGGGAGGAAAGAGAAGATGATTGGGGTGCCTCAAACATAAAGGAGTGTGGGCGTGCGTGGTGACTTTTGAGTCGACTCAAAAGTCACCTCGTTACTATGGCACACGACATTTTTTCATCAAGGAGAGCTATAATCGCGGGTGCCTCAAACATAAAGGAGTGTGGGCGTGCGTGGTGAGGAGGAAGTGAGCTCACCTCTTCCAAGGAGGAAAAGAGCCTTTCCCCACACTCGGCTCACAGAGTGTGTCAATGATCCTTCTGCAGGTTCACCTACACAGAACGGTGAACTCCCACCTACATTGAGCTCACTTTTGAGTCGACTCAGAAGACCATCAATCCCACGTCCTCCTCCTCTTATTCTACTGTTAATTATTCCTCCTTCCCTTACCTTGTGGATGTTGCGGCTGCCCCTGCTCAGATCGTTGGACGGCATCTGGGGAGCCTCTACCGCCAGCACTGTGATGCTCGTTACCCTGCTCAGATCTGCTCATGTTACATCGTGCATGTTATGTCCTGCTCTTCCTCACTTCAACCCTAAACCCTTACATTGTGGATGTTGTGGCTGCCCCTGCTCAGGTCGTTGCTGGGCATCTGAGGATCCTCCACTGCCAGCATGAAGCGATTCTGCTGCACCATGCTGGAATTGGGAAGTAACGGGGAAAGAAAAGCATGAATTGACTAACATTGACCAGCATTGACTGGCATTGACTGGCATCTGGGGATCCTCTATCGCCACCACCATATGAAGAGATTCTGCCGAAACATGCTGGGATGTGGAAAACAAAAGGAGACAAAGAAACGGGTTGAAAGTTTAACGTGGAGTTCTGTTGATCAGCATTGACCGGCATTGACCAGCATTAGCCGGCTTTGACCAGCATTGAATGGCATGTGGAGATCCTCTACCGCCAGCATAAAGAGGTTCTGCTGCATCATGCTGGGATGTGGGGAACAAATTGAGAGGATAAACTAAAGTGGGTTGAATATCAATGACCAGCATTGACTTACATTGACCAGCATTGACTGGCTCCGAACTGTTGATAAATAGATCACACATTCCTCACCCTCTACACCTCTTGAGAAACAATCTCCCACCATGCCGAGCCGATACCCCCACGTCTGCTCTGCTGTCTTCAGGCTGCTGCGACCAGCATTGACCATCATTGACCATCATTGACCATGATTGAATTACATTGACAAGCATTGGTCACCACTGACCAGCATTGACTGACATTGACTGACATTGACTGATGTTGACTGACGTTGACCAGCATTGACTGGCACAGACCGCATATGCCAACATCGTCGCTGACCAACATTGACTGGCATTGACTGACATTGACTAGCATTGACCAGCCTTGAATGGCTTTGACCCCAAGCCACATTGCTCACCCCCTATCCCTCTTGAGAAAGCATCTGCCCCCATGCCGAGCCGACCCCGCCACGTCTGACGTGTTGAGAGCTTTGAACGTTAACCAGCATTGACTGAGATTGACCAGCATTGACTGAGATTGACCAGCATTGACTGAACTGAAATTGTCCAGCATTGACTGAAATTGACCAGCATTGACTGAAATTGACCAGCATTGACTGAAATTGACCAGCAATCTTTTGATAAAAGGATCACACGTTGCTCACCCCCTATCTCTCTTGAGGAAGAATCTGCCCCCATGCCGAGCCGACACCCCCACGTCTGATGTGTTGAGGCCGCGACCGTAGAGGTGAAAGAAGTCAATCTGCCAAGGGGAAAGGGGGTTGCAGAAGGGAGCAGGGGGATGAGGAGAGCAAGGGAGCACCAGAGTGAAAGAACATGGAGATGTAAAAAGATGAAGTATAATTTTCCATTCACAAATTCCTTGCTTTCATTGCTTTGGTTGCTTTGTTTACACATTGTTTAATGGTGAAAAGGGTTGACGGTCGGTCTGTCAGTCAGTCAGTCAGACGCTTCGACACTCGTTTGTTCCTACAACCACTGTACGCTCCTAAGACCACTGTACACTTTGAGCGTTGCTGAGGCAGGAAGATTCATCGCTACTTAATAAGACACGTCTTTTGCGTCGACTCAACAACTGTACGCACTAGATTCATCATTCTCCCCTCACTGCCCTCACTCACTCACCAGCAGTACGCCCAGGTTCTGCTCTAGCTTTCCGCCTGAAAAGCGACTGTGGTGGGTCTGCACAGAACAATGGGGGACTCACTAGTAACACCCCACACATTGCACTCACTCACTCCACTCACTCACCAGCAGTACGCCCAGGTTCTGCTCTAGCTTTCCATTTGAAAAGCGGCTGTGGTGGGTCTGCAGAGAAAGAAGGAGGACTCACTAGTAACACCGCACACACTCCACTCCACTCACTCACCAGTAGTACCCCCAGGTTCTGCTCTAGCTTTCCATTTGAAAAGCGGCTGTGGTGGGTCTGCAGAGAAAGAAGGAGGACTCACTAGTAACACCGCACACACTCCACTCCACTCACTCACCAGTAGTACCCCCAGGTTCTGCTCTAGCTTTCCATTTGAAAAGCGGCTGTGGTGGGTCTGCAGAGAAAGAAGGAGGACTCACTAGTAACACCGCACACACTCCACTCCACTCACTCACCAGTAGTACCCCCAGGTTCTGCTCTAGCTTTCCATTTGAAAAGCGGCTGTGGTGGGTCTGCAGAGAAAGAAGGAGGACTCACTAGTAACACCGCACACACTCCACTCCACTCACTCACCAGTAGTACCCCCAGGTTCTGCTCTAGCTTTCCATTTGAAAAGCGGCTGTGGTGGGTCTGCAGAGAAAGAAGGAGGACTCACTAGTAACACCGCACACACTCCACTCCACTCACTCACCAGTAGTACCCCCAGGTTCTGCTCTAGCTTTCCATTTGAAAAGCGGCTGTGGTGGGTCTGCAGAGAAAGAAGGAGGACTCACTAGTAACACCGCACACACTCCACTCCACTCACTCACCAGTAGTACCCCCAGGTTCTGCTCTAGCTTTCCATTTGAAAAGCGGCTGTGGTGGGTCTGCAGAGAAAGAAGGAGGACTCACTAGTAACACCGCACACACTCCACTCCACTCACTCACCAGTAGTACCCCCAGGTTCTGCTCTAGCTTTCCATTTGAAAAGCGGCTGTGGTGGGTCTGCAGAGAAAGAAGGAGGACTCGCTAGTAACACCGCACACACTCCACTCCACTCACTCACCAGTAGTACCCCCAGGTTCTGCTCTAGCTTTCCATTTGAAAAGCGGCTGTGGTGGGTCTGCATATATCGAAGGAGAAAGGGAGGAGGCAAAAGAGGGGACGGAGAAGGACAGTCCATTCGATTTGAGTTTCGTCATTGAAAAAAGAAAAGAAAAGAAAAGAAAAGAACAGGAAAAAAAGGTTTCCAGTTTGGGGTGTGTCACATCATGACCAGGAGAGCATAGGAGCCTTTTCTTTTCTTTTCTTGTGATGTGAACACCTCGTTGGGTCATGATGTGAACACCCCAACGAGGTTCCAGTTGGAGCCGATGCCTCCTGTGATGTGAACACCTCGTTGGGTTGAGCCCCCTGTGCTGCACTGCACTGTTCCACCAAAGCACAAACCTGTGCAGGTTGCTAGGCCACTCTGCAACCGAGTAAGGTGACTTTTGAGTCGACTCAAAAAACAAACCTGTGCAGGTTGCTAGGCCAATCTGCAACCCCAAAGCACACAACTCGAGGAGGGATATGGGGGCAGCATGCCATGCTGCACCGCAGTGCACCGCACAGTACACATTATACCGCCTCATACCTGTAAATGCGTCATGATCATGACCAGCAGGGCGTAGGAGCCAATCCCTCCTGTGAACACCTCGTTGAGGCCCCTCTGCTGCAGGAAGAGCTTCAACACGAGAGAGATGGGGCGCAGTGCTGGCATGGCCTTCATGGATTTCTGGGTGGGGGACAAAGGAGGAGAGAGAGGAGGAGAAGGATGGAAGGAACAAGGAACAGAGATGACATAGACTTCTCAGACGTGTCAACCAACCCTCTGGTGCAGGCAAGAGGTTGAGCACGAGGAATATGGGGGGGAGTGCTGGGGTGACTTTTGAGTCGACTCAAAAGTCACCTCAGGATGGAAGAAAAAAGAAACAGAGATGAGATAGACTTCTCGGACGCGTCAACCAACCCTCACGGGGGGGGGGCGGGGGGGGGGGGGGGGGGGGGGAAGGACGAGAGGTTGAGCACGAAGAATATGGGGGGGAGTGCTGGCACACGGCCTTCATGGACTTCTAGGTGGGGGTGGGTGATAAGACAGGAGGGGAACGGTGAACGGGAGGGCAAACGAGGGGAGAGGAGACGAGAAAGACTCTTGAGGCGTTTCAATCAACCTTGTACTGCATGGAAGGGACTCATTGATTGCAAGAGGAACTTACCCGGATGAATTTTGCAGTTTCAGGCCCATTTGACGTATCAAAGCTGCCACAAGTGAGTTTCGGGAGGAGAGTGGAAAGGAAGGGGGATGTATAGGACGTCTCAAATCCCAGAAAAATTTAGGTGTGGAGAGGAGGGAGAGTTAGGGGAGAGTGGAAAGGAAGAGGGATATTCCACGTATCAAAACTGTAAGGTGCAGAAGTTAGTAACATGAAGGACGCGTGCATACTCAGATTCCCCTACACACACACACACCCCCTACTTTCTCAAAAGCTTCTGCATGCACTCGCAGGCCCACACACAATACCCTCTACACACACATTCTACTTTCTCAAAGGGTCTGCGTGCCCGCACACTGCACGTGCGCCTCAAAAGATTCTCCGCACGTGAGGCATTTGAGACGCCTCTCAAGTCGCGTGGAGCAAGGACGGACAAGAGTATCCAAACGGATTCTGCATACACTCGCAGGCCCACACACAATACCCTACACACACACACACACACCCCACTTGATCACTCTCCTCGCTCGCTCACCCGCTCCCTCACTCCCTCCCCCCTCCCTCCCTCCCTCCCTCCCTCCCTCCCTCCCTCCCTCCCTCCCTCCCTCCCCCTCCCTCCCTCCTCCCTCCCTCCCTCCCTCCCTCCCTCCCTCCCTCCCTCCCTCCCTCCCTCCCTCCCTCCCTCCCTCCCTCCCTCCCTCCCTCTCACCTGATGTCAAACGACACTCCACTGGCGATCTCCAAAAACTTGATGATGGGCACACGTGCTTGCCCAATGACCTGAAAGAGGGGGTAGGTGTGCAGAGAGGGAATGAGTGAGAGGAGTGAGAGAGTGAGAGGAGTGAGGGGGGGAACTAGATGATGGGCACACGTGCTTGCCCAATGACCTGCGGAAATGGGGTGGGGGGATGCAGGAAAGGAAGTAGTGAGAGGAGTGAGAGCGAGAGGAGTGAGAGTGAGAGGAGTGAGAGTGAGAGGAGTGAGAGGGGGAACTAGATGACCGACACACGTGCTTGCCTAATGACTTGCAGGGCCGGAGATACATAGAGGAGGTGAAAAAGAGACTGCACAGGAGCAACAGAGGAACGGGAGGAGGAATGCATGTGGGCATATACTGGGTGATATACATGTGCTTGCCACATGAGCTCTGTAGGTCGAAAGTGTGTGTGCATGGGTGAAAGAATAGCCAGTGAATGAAAAACAAAGCTACGGGGACTATCACCGTTCACTCCCTTGCATGTACAGTCACCCAGGGTGACTCAACCCCGTACCTTCTCTTCATGTTGCGTGCCACTCTCCTCCCCACCAGTGCCGTGCCTTTGCCACTGCTCCTAGCGCCCTCTGCAAATCCGGTGAGGAACATGGATGGTACTATCGCCTATCTCCCTCCCACACGCGTACCTTCATGTTGCGTGCTACTCTCCTCCCCACCAGTGCCTTTGCCAGTGCCCTCAGGGCCCTCTGCACGTCGGGACAGCCGGAATGCAGCACTACCATCTGGGGGAGGGGAGGGGAAGGGAAGAGGGGCGAAGGACAGGAGGGGAGGAAAAGCATGAGTGTGTGCTTGCTAGCTACCTTGCTTTCTGCTGTACCCGCCTGCCACCTTACATGCACGTCGCAGGGTGAGAGGTACACGGTACACCCCCGTGGAGGGCGGCCGTACGACCCAAACACCTCGAATCGGCACTGCGCTAGCTGGCTAAGGGATGGCATGAGTGTGTGCTTGCTACCTTGCTTCCTGGTACCAAAGCGACACTCGAGGCGAAACTGAGGGTGACACTCAAGGCGACACTTACATCAACATCACTCATAGGCAGGTACGCCCCCGTGGCGTACGAACCAAACACCTCCACGTGGCAGTGCGCCCAGATGCTCCCTACTGCAGGGGCATTAGTGTGCCTGCTTTGATTGTTGTGCTCGTGTGTTTGCCCTGGCAGTACCAGAGGCCACACTCACGGCTGCACCACCCAGAGCTGCAACACTCACATCCACTTCGCTGGTAGGCAGGTACACACCCCCGTGGCGTGAGGTGGGGATGCTTCAGAGTGCTTGCTTTGCTTGTTCTGCTTGTGTGCTTGCCTTGCCGCCGATACAACCAGGGCAACATTCAGGGCGACACTTGGGGGCTGCAATACTCACGTCACGTCCACGTTGCTAGTGGGAGGTACACCCCTGTGGCAGGTGTACTACGACTCAAACACCCCCCCACGTGCCAGTTCACTAGCTACAGGACGCATGCACGGCCATGATGATGCTTTCTTTGCTTCTGTGCGTCATGGCCAGGCCATCACGGACTTGTCCGTACCAGCGCTGCACGCGCTCACAGCTGGGATACTCACGTCCACGTCACTCGTGGGGAGGTACACCCCCGTGGCGTACGAACCAAACACCTCCACGTGGCAGTGCGCCCAGATGCTCTGGATGACAGCTGTCACCCGCCCCACCGCCTCCGCCCGCGCCTGCTTCTCCTGCTCCGAGGCCTCCACAAACCGGCAGAACTCCACAATTTCTGGGGTATGAGAAGGGCAGGAGGGTGATGGGAACACGGTGGCTGTTTTTGAGTCGACTCAAAAGCAGAAGGGCAGGAGGGTGATGGGAACACGGTGGCTGTACGTGTTGGAAAGCTGTTCTTTCCTCTCACTGACACTCCTCACCCGCCCCACCGCCTCCGCCCGCGCCTGCTTCTCCTGCTCCGTCGCTTCAACAAACCGGCACAACTCCACAATCTCTGGTGTTGGGAAAAGGCCGGGGTTGCACAAGCACGAGATTTAGAGCGGTCATTCGTTCGCCCCACCGCCTCCACCCGCACCTGCTTCTCCTGCTCTGACGCCTCCACGAACCGGCACAACTCCACAATCTATGTGGTTGGGAGGAGGTAGGTGGGTGGGTTGGCAAGCACATGGGACCAACGGTGGTCCACCATCAACCACCGCCTTCACCCTCGCTCGCCTGCTTCTCCTGCTCTGACGCCTCCACGAACCGGCACAACTCCACAATCTCTGTGGTTGGGAGGAGGTAGGTGGGTGGGTTGGCAAGCACATGGGACCAACGGTGGTCCACCATCAACAACCGCCTCCACCCTCGCTCGCCTGCTTCTCCTGCTCTGACGCCTCCACGAACCGGCACAACTCCACAGTCTCTGTGGTTGGGAGGAGGTAGGTGGGTGGGTTGGCAAGCACATAGGACCAACGGTGGTCCACCATCAACAACCGCCTCCACCCTCGCTCGCCTGCTTCTCCTGCTCTGACGCCTCCACGAACCGGCACAACTCCACAATCTCTGTGGTTGGGAGGAGGTAGGTGGGTGGGTTGGCAAGCACATGGGACCAACGGTGGTCCACCATCAACAACCGCCTCCACCCTCGCTCGCCTGCTTCTCCTGCTCTGACGCCTCCACGAACCGGCACAACTCCACAATCTCTGTGGTTGGGAGGAGGTAGGTGGGTGGGTTGGCAAGCACATGGCAATTTCTGCTGCCCGACGAAATTTCTGCTAGCAGAAATCTACAGGAACCAGAGATAGAGAAGCCACGTGTAAAAAGATGATTTTTGAGACGTCTCAAAAATCATCTTTTTACTTGTGCGGGGTGAAATGACGCAGGAGCGATGGTGGCATGGCAACCCGCCCCCCCGCCTCTTGCTTAGCCTGCATCTCCTGCTTTGAGACGTCTCAAAACACTCTTGCTGTGCCTGCATCTCCTGCTTTGAGACGTCTCAAAACACTCTTGCTTAGCCTGCATCTGCTGCTTTGAGACGTCTCAAAACACTCTTGCTTTGCCTGCATCTCCTGCTCCAATGCTTCCACGAACCGTCAGAATTCCACGATCTCTGCAGTTTAGAAAGGGGCAAGGGGTTTAGATGTGCGTGTCGGGTGGAATGAAGCCAGTTCTTGCAAGGGGTAATGCTGGTAACCCGCCCCACCGCCTCCACCCTCGCCTCCTTCTCCCGCCCTGATGCCTCCACGATCCGGCAAAACTCTAATATTTCTGAAGTTAAGAAATGGGAGGGGTTGCAAGGGGCGAGGTTTAAAGGGTTTAAGGCTTATTTTAGTTAAGAAATGGGAGGGGTTGCAGGGGGCGCAGAGGCTTGCCTTGATGCAGGCGGAGAAAGGGGGGCACCCGTAGAGGCTTCCTGCGGGTGGCCCACGATCCAGAGCGCCGCGTAGGTGAGTGTTCCAGGTTTACGTGGGCCGGGGTTTAGGGGGGTTCAGGGTCTACGGTTGTTACGAGGGGGACGTGGAGGCTTGCCTTGGTGCAGGCGCAGGAAGGGGCTTCGCGGATGCCCCTCGGGATGCCCTACGCTCCACGGCGCTGCAGGATCCGCAGCTGGCAGAGGCTTTCCGCCCCGCGTTTCCGCCACTGGCGCTTCAGGCTCCGCCACTGGTGCAACACGCGCAAGCTTCCCGCCTCTAGCTTCCCCCGCTTCCACGGCTTCCCCCGCTTTTGCAGCCGCTTCCCCGTCCGCTCCCCCTTGCGCTTTCCTCTTCCTCTTCTCCTCAACTGCTTCCTTCACGTGCAACCCGGCTTCCCCTCCTGATGCAGCAGCGCTGTCTACATCATCGTCCGTTCCTAATCCAACGGTTCCGACTGCAGCTCCCTGATTCCCGCGCGAAGCCTGTCCGCCGTCCAATCGAGCAACATCTCCTACATTTGCTAGCTGATCTAATTCGAGTTTTTCTGTAACATTATTTGATGTCTTCGTGCTAGATGTGGTTACCACATCTACTATGTCGACGAGGCGAATTACAAGAGCGTCCTCCGTGTTCCCGTCGCTATCGCCATCCTCGTCGTTTTCGTCATCTATAGCTGTAGCCTTTGCGCTAGTATCGGGTACAGAAGGACGCGTGGCGGACGGCGATCCTGCCAACGAATATCTCGCGTCCAGCTCAGCAACCAACGCGGTAATCGCGCGACTAGTATCGGCAGGTAGGGACGAATTCGTACCGGGTGTCGACGATAACAAATCAGCCAATAACGGATCACTCACTAACGGGTCACTCACTAACGGGTCGCTCAACGCATTCGTTCCGATAACGGTACGAAGCGTTCGATAGAGGAAACCCGAGTCGTCCGGGGTAGCCATGGTAATGCAAGTCGCCCACACGCGAGTTAACGAGCTAGTGTTGAGAGTTCCAAAAACAATGCTGGTTGCCCAAACCTCTCCTAAAAAGTGCGGGTAAAAGCCTAGTCCTGGTCGATTAACGACCCGACGCTACGCTACTACTCTAGTTAAAACCGGGGTTCCAAGAGTTTCGAAGTTAGGAAGGTTGCTTGGGGCAAGGGATGTGAGTGGCGGGCGAACCAGGGTGGTGTCGAGATTCGTGGACGCAGATCGCAGAGCATAAGTACCTCGCGTGTGTAACCAGATCTTGAATGCAACGTACGAAATAGCTCGCAACAGTTTCGGACTGGCTTCAAATCTTTGTGCGAAATCGTCACTGCTCTCGCTCTCGCTAGTACAGTAAATGCGTGTGACGAAATTTGTCCCGACAAATTGCGAAGTGGGTCACTTCCAACTGGGTCACACCCAACCGAAGTTAGGAAGGTTGAGGCAGTTTAGGCCTGTTTGGGACTCCGGTTTTAAATCTAGTATCGCACTTCAGGGGTGCAGGGCCCACAGAATTCAGGGTGCAAGGAACTGTATCGTTTAATTAAGATACATGACATTACATCTACTTTCCATCCTGATTTCATTTCACAGCACTAGCATGTAAGTCCGTTTAGAATGGATCCAAATAAGCTCCAAGCACAGGCCGATGCCTCATTCTTCTGACGCGTTCAAGAAAAACCAAGCACTGGGCGCAATACGTCCTTGAATCTCTCCCTTACGGTAATTTTTTTTTGTCGACTCAAAGTCTGCCTCGCTCAAGAACATCCAAGCACGGGTCCTAATACGTCCTTGAAGCTCTTATCAAAATTCTCCTCAGAGAATCTCTTGGCTCTCTCCCTGCCAGCTGTCGCCATCCGCTCCCTCTCCTCCGCTGACATGGCGAAAACCGCCCGCATGGCAGCAGCGTATTCGTCCTCAGTCGTCGCCAAAAACCCTACAGGGCAGCCCAATGACTCAGCTTCTAGCTGCCCCTTCAGGATCAACGGCTCTGATTGCTTCTCTGATTGCTCCTCGTCGCCTCCCTCCTTGTCTCCCTCCCCATCTCCCTCCTCCTCTTCCATCTTTTCCTTCCCTCCTCCTTTTCTGTAACCAGCATGGCAGGCCGGCACTACTATGTCCATTTTCGGGCCGGCAGAGTTGTGAGCTGCAGGGAAGAGCAGAAAAAACCAAGGAGCAGCAGAAAGGGACACACAGGAGAAAGAAAGAGGTTGTGTGGGTAAGATGGGTCTTCCTCGCTATATGGAAATCACTTTTGAGAATTCCCAAAAGTGATTTCCGAAAGAGGTTGTGTGGGTAAGATGGGCCTTCCTCGTTCTTCTCATCTCCGTCCTCATATACCAGCGTGATGGGGTATTATGGGTTTTCCTGTCCTTGTTTTCTCCTGTAACCAGCGTGACAGGCAGGAACTACAATGTCCAATTTTTGAGAATTCTCAAAAACCAAAGCGTGACAGGCAGGAACTACTATGTCCATTTCCGGGCCGGCCGAGTTGTGGCCTGCAGGGAGAGAGCAGAGCAAAGCAAGGAAACGGAAGTGGAAACACAAGGGAGATGGGTGAGTGGGTGAGATGGGCCTTGCTCCATTTTTTTAGACATCTCAAAACGACTACTCATCTCCCTCCAGACATCGCCTATTCTCCTGTTACCAGGTGGATGGGGGATGGGGTAGGTGTTGGTTTTTGAGAATTCTCAAAAACCAACTAGTTTCAAAACGACTCCTCATCTCCCTCCAGACATCGCCTATTCTCCTGTTACCAGGTGGATGGGGGATGGGGTAGGTGTTGGTTTTTGAGAATTCTCAAAAACCAACTAGTTTCAAAACGACTCCTCATCTCCCTCCAGACATCGCCTATTCTCCTGTTACCAGGTGGATGGGGGATGGGGTAGGTGTTGGTTTTTGAGAATTCTCAAAAACCAACTAGTTTCAAAACGACTCCTCATCTCCCTCCAGACATCGCCTATTCTCCTGTTACCAGGTGGATGGGGGATGGGGTAGGTGTTGGTTTTTGAGAATTCTCAAAAACCAACTAGTTTCAAAACGACTCCTCATCTCCCTCCAGACATCGCCTCTTCTCCTGTTACCAGGTGGATGGGGGATGGGGTAGGTGTTGGTTTTTGAGAATTCTCAAAAACCAACTAGTTTCAAAACGACTCCTCATCTCCCTCCAGACATCGCCTATTCTCCTGTTACCAGGTGGATGGGGGATGGGGTAGGTGTTGGTTTTTGAGAATTCTCAAAAACCAACTAGTTTCAAAACGACTCCTCATCTCCCTCCAGACATCGCCTCTTCTCCTGTTACCAGGTGGATGGGGGATGGGGTAGGTGTTGGTTTTTGAGAATTCTCAAAAACCAACTAGTTTCAAAACGACTCCTCATCTCCCTCCAGACATCGCCTATTCTCCTGTTACCAGGTGGATGGGGGATGGGGTAGGTGTTGGTTTTTGAGAATTCTCAAAAACCAACTAGTTTCAAAACGACTCCTCATCTCCCTCCAGACATCGCCTATTCTCCTGTTACCAGGTGGATGGGGGATGGGGTAGGTGTTGGTTTTTGAGAATTCTCAAAAACCAACTAGTTTCAAAACGACTCCTCATCTCCCTCCAGACATCGCCTATTCTCCTGTTACCAGGTGGATGGGGGATGGGGTAGGTGTTGGTTTTTGAGAATTCTCAAAAACCAACTAGTTTCAAAACGACTCCTCATCTCCCTCCAGACATCGCCTATTCTCCTGTTACCAGGTGGATGGGGGATGGGGTAGGTGTTGGTTTTTGAGAATTCTCAAAAACCAACTAGTTTCAAAACGACTCCTCATCTCCCTCCAGACATCGCCTCTTCTCCTGTTACCAGGTGGATGGGGGATGGGGTAGGTGTTGGTTTTTGAGAATTCTCAAAAACCAACTAGTTTCAAAACGACTCCTCATCTCCCTCCAGACATCGCCTATTCTCCTGTTACCAGGTGGATGGGGGATGGGGTAGGTGTTGGTTTTTGAGAATTCTCAAAAACCAACTAGTTTCAAAACGACTCCTCATCTCCCTCCAGACATCGCCTATTCTCCTGTTACCAGGTGGATGGGGGATGGGGTAGGTGTTGGTTTTTGAGAATTCTCAAAAACCAACTAGTTTCAAAACGACTCCTCATCTCCCTCCAGACATCGCCTATTCTCCTGTTACCAGGTGGATGGGGGATGGGGTAGGTGTTGGTTTTTGAGAATTCTCAAAAACCAACTAGTTTCAAAACGACTCCTCATCTCCCTCCACACCGTCGCCTATTCTCCTGTTACCAGGTGGATGGGGGATGGGGTAGGTGTTGGTTTTTGAGAATTCTCAAAAACCAACTAATTTCAAAACGACTCCTCATCTCCCTCCAGACATCGCCTATTCTCCTGTTACCAGGTGGATGGGGGATGGGGTAGGTGTTGGTTTTTGAGAATTCTCAAAAACCAACTAGTTTCAAAACGACTCCTCATCTCCCTCCACACCATCGCCTATTCTCCTGTTACCAGGTGGATGGGGGATGGGGTAGGTGTTGGTTTTTGAGAATTCTCAAAAACCAACTAGTTTCAAAACGACTCCTCATCTCCCTCCACACCGTCGCCTATTCTCTTGTTAACAGGTGGATGGGGGATGGGGTAGGTGTTGGTTTTTGAGAATTCTCAAAAACCAACTAGTTTCAAAACGACTCCTCATCTCCCTCCACACCATCGCCTATTCTCCTGTTACCAGGTGGATGGGGGATGGGGTAGGTGTTGGTTTTTGAGAATTCTCAAAAACCAACTAGTTTCAAAACGACTCCTCATCTCCCTCCACACCATCGCCTATTCTCCTGTTACCAGGTGGATGGGGGATGGGGTAGGTGTTGGTTTTTGAGAATTCTCAAAAACCAACTAGTTTCAAAACGACTCCTCATCTCCCTCCACACCATCGCCTATTCTCCTGTTACCAGGTGGATGGGGGATGGGGTAGGTGTTGGTTTTTGAGAATTCTCAAAAACCAACTAGTTTCAAAACGACTCCTCATCTCCCTCCACACCATCGCCTATTCTCCTGTTACCAGGTGGATGGGGGATGGGGTAGGTAGGAAAGTGCTACGAGTCCGCAGGTGCCGCCTACACCAGTCGTAGCCTTTACCCACGCACCTATTGGCACAGCTCCGGCTGCCATGTACTACACCACGCTGATACCATAGTGCTCGTCCCACATGGTGTGGTGTGGTGTGGTGTGGGTGTGGGTGTGGTGTTTGTGTACCCTGCAGGTGGCACCTACCCTAGTGGTACCAGTTACTGGAACCTAGCTGACCTGAGCGAGTAAGAGACTCACCGATGGGCACAGCCCCTGCTGCCATGTATTCGACCACGCTGATGCCCAAGTGCTCGTTCCACATGGCGTGTATTGTGCGATGTAATGCACCCAACACTTGCCACTTTCCCTACCTGTCACCGAGCCCCTGCTGCCACCCACACACTCACCGATGGGCACAGCCCCTGCTGCCATGTATTCGACCTCGCTGATACCAAAGTGCTCATCCCACATGGTGTGTAGCCCGCAGGTGTTGCCTGCCCTAGTGGTACCTATTCCGAGAAACCAGCTGACCTGAGCGTGTAAGAGGCTCACCGATGGGCATAGCCCCTGCTGCCATGTGCTCCACCACGCTGATACCAAAGTGCTCATCCCGTTCCACATTGTGTGGTGTGGTGTGAGTTGGTTTTTGAGAATTCTCAAAATGGTTTTTGAGAATTCTCAAAAACCACCACGCTGATGCCCAAGTGCTCATCCCGTTCCACATTGTGTGGTGTTGTGTGTATACCCCACGTGGCACCTTCCAGGCAACAGGCCCAAACCCCTTCTGTAGATCCTCCACCCTCACATGCACCCAACGACGGGGACAGCCCCTGCTGCCATTTACTACTCAACCACGCTCATCCCAAAGTGCTCATCTCGTACCATGTGATGCCGCAGGTGGTGCCTACCCTACCAGTCACCATGGTATCACATGTAACTACCGGGGTACTGCTAAGGCCTGTGATAGACTCACCGATAGGAATAGCCCCGGCTGCCATGTATTCGACCACGCTGATACCAAAATGCTCATCCCACATGGTGTGGATGCCGCACGTAGCACCACCTAGTAACTGTTGCAGCTCCCTGCAATAAAGAGGACATGGTTGCAATGCGGTACAGTGTGGTAACAGGGATAGAAACAATGAAGACCTAGGCACATGGTGTGTATGCCGCACGTAGCGCCGCCTAGCAGCTGCTGCAGGGAGCTGTGAACAGCTAGGCACATGGTGTGTACCCCGCAGGCGGCACCCTAGTAGCTGCTGCAGTTACCTGCCACGCAACGACAAACACATGGGTGCAGTGCGGTCCCTCTGTCCCCAGAGACATCGCCGAGGCACTGGAGCAGTTCAATCCGCTTCTGAGAATTCTCAAAAGTCCTCCAGGCGCCGGCTGCTGCCCACCAGCTTCACATCCTTAACACGCACACGTCCTTAACACGCACACGTCCTTAACACGCACACGTCCTTAACACGCACACGTCCTTAACACGCACACGTCCTTAACACGCACACGTCCTTAACACGCACACGTCCTTAACACGCACACGTCCTTAACACGCACACGTCCTTAACACGCACACGTCCTTAACACGCACACGTCCTTAACACGCACACGTCCTTAACACGCACACGTCCTTAACACGCACACGTCCTTAACACGCACACGTCCTTAACACGCACACGTCCTTAACACGCACACGTCCTTAACACGCACACGTCCTTAACACGCACACGTCCTTAACACGCACACGTCCTTAACACGCACACGTCCTTAACACGCACACGTCCTTAACACGCACACGTCCTTAACACGCACACGTCCTTAACACGCACACGTCCTTAACACGCACACGTCCTTAACACGCACACGTCCTTAACACGCACACGTCCTTAACACGCACACGTCCTTAACACGCACACGTCCTTAACACGCACACGTCCTTAACACGCACACGTCCTTAACACGCACACGTCCTTAACACGCACACGTCCTTAACACGCACACGTCCTTAACACGCACACGTCCTTAACACGCACACGTCCTTAACACGCACACGTCCTTAACACGCACACGTCCTTAACACGCACACGTCCTTAACACGCACACGTCCTTAACACGCACACGTCCTTAACACGCACACGTCCTTAACACGCACACGTCCTTAACACGCACACGTCCTTAACACGCACACGTCCTTAACACGCACACGTCCTTAACACGCACACGTCCTTAACACGCACACGTCCTTAACACGCACACGTCCTTAACACGCACACGTCCTTAACACGCACACGTCCTTAACACGCACACGTCCTTAACACGCACACGTCCTTAACACGCACACGTCCTTAACACGCACACGTCCTTAACACGCACACGTCCTTAACACGCACACGTCCTTAACACGCACACGTCCTTAACACGCACACGTCCTTAACACGCACACGTCCTTAACACGCACACGTCCTTAACACGCACACGTCCTTAACACGCACACGTCCTTAACACGCACACGTCCTTAACACGCACACGTCCTTAACACGCACACGTCCTTAACACGCACACGTCCTTAACACGCACACGTCCTTAACACGCACACGTCCTTAACACGCACACGTCCTTAACACGCACACGTCCTTAACACGCACACGTCCTTAACACGCACACGTCCTTAACACGCACACGTCCTTAACACGCACACGTCCTTAACACGCACACGTCCTTAACACGCACACGTCCTTAACACGCACACGTCCTTAACACGCACACGTCCTTAACACGCACACGTCCTTAACACGCACACGTCCTTAACACGCACACGTCCTTAACACGCACACGTCCTTAACACGCACACGTCCTTAACACGCACACGTCCTTAACACGCACACGTCCTTAACACGCACACGTCCTTAACACGCACACGTCCTTAACACGCACACGTCCTTAACACGCACACGTCCTTAACACGCACACGTCCTTAACACGCACACGTCCTTAACACGCACACGTCCTTAACACGCACACGTCCTTAACACGCACACGTCCTTAACACGCACACGTCCTTAACACGCACACGTCCTTAACACGCACACGTCCTTAACACGCACACGTCCTTAACACGCACACGTCCTTAACACGCACACGTCCTTAACACGCACACGTCCTTAACACGCACACGTCCTTAACACGCACACGTCCTTAACACGCACACGTCCTTAACACGCACACGTCCTTAACACGCACACGTCCTTAACACGCACACGTCCTTAACACGCACACGTCCTTAACACGCACACGTCCTTAACACGCACACGTCCTTAACACGCACACGTCCTTAACACGCACACGTCCTTAACACGCACACGTCCTTAACACGCACACGTCCTTAACACGCACACGTCCTTAACACGCACACGTCCTTAACACGCACACGTCCTTAACACGCACACGTCCTTAACACGCACACGTCCTTAACACGCACACGTCCTTAACACGCACACGTCCTTAACACGCACACGTCCTTAACACGCACACGTCCTTAACACGCACACGTCCTTAACACGCACACGTCCTTAACACGCACACGTCCTTAACACGCACACGTCCTTAACACGCACACGTCCTTAACACGCACACGTCCTTAACACGCACACGTCCTTAACACGCACACGTCCTTAACACGCACACGTCCTTAACACGCACACGTCCTTAACATGCACTCAATGCCTCCACTCCGCCCATACACTGCTTCACAGACCAAGGAACCTCAAGGGAGTGTTGACGGTGAAATCAACGCGTCTCTCAATGCCCGGTGACACAGCCATGCATCCCAGCAGCTCGATGCGCCTCTCGTCCTCCTGGTGCTGGCTGCTCGTCTGTCTGAAGCTGACTAAGTTACTTGAAAGGGGTGTTGACGATGAAATCAACCCGTCTTTCTATTTCTAGTGACACGGCCCAGGCACCCGAGCAGCTCAATGCGCTTCTCATCCTCTCGGTGCCGGCTGCTGCCTACTGGGTTCAGACACACGCACATACCTTGCTGTTTTGAGTTGAATACGTTACCTGAAGGTAGTGTTGACGATGAAATCCACCCGTCTCTCTATTCCAAGAGACAACGCTAGGAACCCCAGCAGCTCAATGCGCTTCTCGTCCTCCTGGTACCGGCTGCTCGTCTGTCTGAAGTCGCCTACGTTACCTGAAGGGAGTGTTGACGATGAAATCAACGCGTCTCTCAATGCCCAACGACACCGCCAGGCACCCCAGCAGCTCAATGCGCTTCTCGTCCTCCCGGTGCCGGCTGCTGCCCACCAGCTTCAGGCGCACGCCAGTCATCGGATCAGGTTTTGATGGAGCGTCAGCCGTTGGATCGGATGGTTGTGCGGGCTTTATGGCCTGTGCAAAAGCTCGGAGCTGCAATGCGTGATTCTGGGAAAGGCATGGGGAGGGGGAAGGGGAGATGGGGGAATGGGAGATGGGGGAAGGGGAGATGGGGGAATGGGAGATGGGGGAAGGGGAGATGGGGGAAGGGGAGAAGTAAGGGAATGAGAGAAGTAAGGGAATGAGAGAAGTAAGGGAATGAGAGAAGTAAGGGAATGAGAGAAGTAAGGGAATGAGAGAAGTAAGGGAATGAGAGAAGTAAGGGAATGAGAGAAGTAAGGGAATGAGAGAAGTAAGGGAATGAGAGAAGTAAGGGAATGAGAGAAGTAAGGGAATGAGAGAAGTAAGATCCGTTGAGAAGTCCTAATAAGGCTCAATGAGGACCGTGACTAGAATGATCCTGTGCGCTGGATTTTAAAAAGTCTTATAACTAATAACAACAATACTAATAATGAAACGCACCTATTGCTTTAGAAATTATTGTAGTGCACTATGGCTTGTGTTAGAAGATCAGTTGTACTTAGTTAGGGCTGTACCATTTATGGTCGGAACTGAGTGACAGAGATGTCGCATTAAGGTGGGGAGATAATGGCGGGGAGCGTGAGAGCTATGGTGTGAGTGAGAGGTACAGGGATGATAGTGTGAGTAAGAGGCACAGGGATGATAGTGTGAGTAAGAGGCACAGGGATGATAGTGTGAGTAAGAGGCACAGGGATGATAGTGTGAGTAAGAGGCACAGGGATAACAGTGTGAGTGACACGGACACACAGAAAGCGGGAACCTTTTTCCTGCAGAAACACTGTACCTTTTCTGGTCGGAACTGGGCAACAGATATTATGTATTTTGACGCGGGGCGAGAGAGAGGAAGAGCCTGAAAGAACGGGGGGGGGGGGGAGGGGGGGGGAGGAGAGGGGGGGGGAACACGGGGGAAAGGAAGGATTGAAGAGGGGATCGAGAGGCTCAGATAATGACAGTCCTGGTTTTGAGAGGGAGAGGTTGAAAATGATTTGAAAGAGCCTTGCAATCACTTTTTGTTCTAGGTTGATACATGTCCTGGGCTTGTTTTAGACAAGTGAAGCGTGATTTAAATCAGCAGATGATGACACCGTGGTTCTTTTTGAGTCGACTCAAAAGTCACCTCGTTACAATGGGACACTGTAGTTCTGAACCGAAAAAACGAATAGGTGCTGCTGATGGGGTTCGGCTTGTTGCGCGTCCAGATTCACCGAATGTGCAGCACACCAGTGCTCCTGGTGGCCCCATGTCTACTCGAATGGCCCTTGTATTGATTGGTGGCCCCATGTCTACTCGAATGGCCCTTGTATTGATTGGTGAACCCATGTCTACTCTCTCTCACCAATGCTTCAACTCACCTGGAGGGCAGCGGTGTCGCAGGGGGGGTAAACCCGATGCACGGAGCTCGGCTTGTTGCGCGTCCAGATTCGCCGAATGTGGCCCTCGGTCCAGGAGGAGTTGACCATGGTGACGTCAGCGTGCCCGCCCGCCCACCCGTATAGGTAAGCGAAGAAGCGATAGTAATAGAGCTTGGAGGAGGAGAGAACAGCGCTGGTATCGGGGAATAGAGGGGAATAGTGTGTGGGATAGAGGGAGGGGGGAAGTGGTTCAGGGGAGAGGGAGTGAGAACGCAATTCAGAAACAGCGCACCAGGAGAAGATTCAATCGGTCCAGGAGGAGTTGACCATGGTGACGTCAGCGTGCCCCCCAGCCCACCCATACAGGAGGGCAAAGAAACGGTAATAGTAGAGCTTGGAGGAGGAGAGAATGGAGCTGTGATGGGGAGAGAGGGCAGTGGAAAAAAAACAGAGGGTGGGAGTTGACCATAGCAATTCAGTGTGCCTCCACCCCTTAACCGTGGAGGAAGGCGAAGAAACGGTAATAGTAGAGCTTGGAGGAGGAGAGGATGGAGCTGGGATGGGGAGAGAGGGCAGTGGAAAGGAAGAAGACACATGATACAGTAGCAGGTTGAGTGCGTGCGGACCTCCCCTCGGTCCAGGAGGGGTAGTTGACCGGGTTGACCGGGTTGACCACAGTGATGCTGTCAGTGTGCCCGCCTGACCATGGAAGTGCGGGTTGCGCTGGTATTGAGGAGAGAGGGCAGTGGAAAGGAAATCAGTTGGACAGCAGGTTGAGTGCGTGCGGCCCTCCCCTCGATCCAGGCGGAGAGGAGTTGACCTTTGTGACACTGTCAACGTTCCCTTTCTGTGCTGTGCTCCCATCTGTTATCAACAGTGTCATCGCTGCTATACATGCTAGTGCGCTGCTGCACCCTCTGCTCTGCAGCATTGTCTCCACTGATAGCCACGTAGTGAGAGGCGCATCAATAGACACCTGTACCGTCTAGCACCCACCTGCACTCCCCGTATTCCACCCACCTGTTGGCCACAGTATCATCATTGATAACAGTATAACAACAGTATCATAAACACACCTGTTAGCAACAGTATCATCGTTGTTATACATGCTAGTGCGCTGCTGCACCCGCTGCAACATGTCTCCACTGATCGTCGGATAGTGTGTATAACACACCACCAAACACCCTCCTCCTCTCCCTCCCCCTCCTCCTGCCCGTTGTCCCCCTAACAGCAGCTTCACAACAGGATAAGAAAACGCGTATCCAGCCGTATCCACGAAAACAGCCGGTGGGCGGCGGAGAACGGCCTCTAGTGCGAGAGCCATGGAGCCCAGCGATTGGCCGAGGAGGGTGAAGCGCGGGTAGAGGGAGGCCTCCACTAGATGGCGGTAGGACAGGCGGACGACCTTTTATGGGGGGGAGGAGGGGAGTAGGCGAAACAGAAGGAAATAGTTGGAGTGATTGGCCGAGGAGGGTGAAGCGCAGGTAGAGGGAAGCTTCCACTAGATGGCGGTAGGACAGGCGGACGACCTTCAAGAGGGGGGTGAGGGAATAAGGGAAACAGAAGGAAAAAGTTGGAGTGATTGGGCAAGAAGAGTGTGAAGCGCGGGTAGAGGGACGCTTCCACTAGATGGCGGTAGGACAGGCGGACGACCTGGTTTTGTAAAGGGGGAAATGGAAGAGAAGAGCGAGGAGAAGAGCGGGGACTGTGGGAGAGGGAGTGAGAGTGAGGAGAAGAGTGAGGAGAAGAGCGAGGACTGTGGGAGAGGGAGTGAGAGTGAGGAGAAGAGTGAGGAGAAGAGTGAGGACTGTGGGAGAGGGAGTGAGAGAGATTGGGCGAGGAGAGTGAAGCAGGATGCAAGGAGTTCTCGACTCAATGGAGATAGGACAGGTTAACTGGTAACCTGGTCAGGGCAGAACCACTCGAACGTGGTAACCCAAACTTGGTAACCACATGACACAACACGTTACCTCCATTGGCCGGGGCACTCGAACGTGGTAACCCAGAGTTATAGTAACGTGGTAACCACATGACACAACACGTTACCACCACTGGCCGGGGCACTCGAACGTGGTAACCCAGAGTTATAGTAACGTGGCAACCACATGACACAACACGTTACCTCGACTGGCCGAGGCAGCACCACTCCGAACAGGTTGTGTGCTCTCTCCGCCAGCGAATCAGGAGACGCCACGTCGCCGGTGTAGACGAAACATTGCGCCAAGGGGTCAAGCTCCTGGAGGGTAAACGCCCAAGATACCCGAAAAACAGGTGGGGAGAATGTTCTTTGCCCAGGAATAGGTGGAGACGAGATGAACAGCGATTGGAGAGCTGATTATACTACATGTGAGCTATATTGAAATCACTTTTGAGAATTCTCAAACGTGAGCGGAAAATGAGGAGGCGAATAGACATACATCCCATCCGTGTCTCATTCTGCGAGTAGGCGTAAGTGGCATAAATTCGTATTGAGGGTATCCAGTAACGAGTACCTGTATAGCGCGTACGGCGCACCACAGCACTCGCTCGCCGCCTCCCCCGTCGTTCGTGAACGGGTGGAAGAACCCGAACGAGTGTCGCTTCATGCGGGATCTAATGTAGGAGCGGATGATAACGAGGATCACCGGCAGAAGCAAGAGCGCGGTGTAGAAAAACGGGATAACAGAGGGAGAAACGGAGGAAGAAGAATCTGGGCTAGGGGAAGGAGAAGGAGGAGGAGACGGAAACGCCATGGGAGACGAGATCTCTGAGAATTCCCAAGGTAAATTCCCAAGGTGAATCAAAGGACCCGAGTTAGTTTGGTTCGCCGAGAATCTACCCAGCTAGCCCAGGTGAATTCACATGCGCTGTGAATCACCGCAGCCCGGCTCACACCGGCTCAATCCGTGCGTCTACCAACCTAAACAGCCCTTAGCGGCGGCTTTTTAGAGACGTCTCAAAAGTCCGATGCAGCAGGAGCATCTGCCGGCCTAGCGACTGCAGCCTAAACGTCTAATTACCTAAAGACTTTCCCTAGCGGCCGTGAGGCAATACTACGAGGAAAATCTCGCCATTCCATCATTGGCGGTCCAGAAATCGCGGGATGAATGGCAGGAAGCCACGGGAATGAAAGTGCGGAAATCTCTTGGAATATATATTGCACTGCCTAGCGCTACCGACCGCAACCGGCTCTCGAAAGTGAAATATATCGGGAAAAATCGAAGTGCGTGGCGAAAGCAAGGGACCACGGAAAGCACGACCAAAAAAAAGAGCGCAAAAACTGTAAGCACAAGACGCCGCCCGTGGGGCTCGAACCCACGACCACAAGGTTAAGAGCCTTGCGCTCTACCGACTGAGCTAGGGCGGCTGTTTATCGTGTTTTTGTTATAAATTCATTTGTTAGATCATGGCTTACTGCTGTGCCCTCCACACTGCGCTCACAGCTTGACGCATCAGATTGGCTCATAGCCGCCATGAGAGACGGGCTGTCTAGACGTTCCCCTGAGATTTCCAAGGAACGGAGTTAGGGTGGTTCGCGAAATTCCCTGACCAGCGATTTCACAGCCACTGTGAGTTCACGGCGGCTTCAGCGCGAGTGTCTGCCAACCTAAACAGGTGCCCTGGCGGCGACTTTAGGGACGTCTCTAAAATCAGATGCAGGCGGCGCATCTACCATCCTATTGACTGCAGCCTGAACGTCTTATAACCAAAATGCCTTCCCTTGGCCGTCAGGCAATACTACAAGGTAAATCTCTCCAATTTATCATTGGCGGTCCTGAGATCGCGGGACGACTGGCAGGAAGCTGAGGGACAGACGACAGGAAAAAATCATCGAAAGACTAAAATTCTTCTGGATGCTCATTGCAAGTCGTTTTCGCCGCCCGTGGGGCTCGAACCCACGACCACAAGGTTAAGAGCCTTGCGCTCTACCGACTGAGCTAGGGCGGCTGTTTGTTGCATTTCGTTGAAATTTCCAGGGTCTGACAGACTCGAGAGTGACCGCGATCTCCTCCAGATGATCGTCCACTCGTGCACATCTTACCTGGCTAGCGGTTCACACTGTCAGCATGGCGTTAGATTCCTCCCGGCCGTTCCACCGCGCGTTCGACCTCCTAGCGTCCGACACCCTCGAGAGTGACAGCGATCTTCTCGAGATGATCCTCCAAGACTGACAGATTCGACTGCTTAGCAAACGTTCACTCGTACACATTTTAACCGGCTAGCCGTTCAAACTGTCGGCATGGCGTCAGATTCCTCCCGGCCATTCCACCGCGCGTTGGACCTCCTAGCGTCCGACACCCCCGAGAGTGACGGCGATCTTCTCGAGATGATCCGCCGCGCGCGCCGCGACATGACGCGCCTCTCCGCCGCCGACTCGCGCCCCGCCGTCGCTGGCGGAAAGCACTTCCGCAGTGGCGCGTCCAAGGTAAGTTTCTGGGTAGTTTCCATGTAACCCTTCTAACAGTCCGACAAGACTCGCCTCTTCGCTACCGACTCCCGCGGGAGTCCAACCGTCTTCTGTGGCGCGTCCGAGGTAAGGTTCTGGGTAGCTGCTCTCAACTGCGCCCTTTGAAATCCCATATAGCCTCTTTTTACAGTCCGACAAGGCTTGCCTCTCCGCCGTTGATTCCCGCCCCGCCGTGGCTGGCGGAAATCGGAACTTCCGCAGCGGGGCTTCCAAGGTAAGCCGCTGAAGCAGTCCCTCCTCCCATGCTCTATATCCCCATGCGCCTCTCCACCGCTTAGTCCCCTGCCCCCACCTCTCCTTGAGCGGGCGGAAAACACTTCCGCAGCGTGGTCTCTAGGGTAAATATTTGAAGCAGTCCCTCCTCCCATGTTCTATATCCGCATGCGCCTCTCCGCCGCCGACTTCCGCCCCGCCCAAATGCTACATCCCATTGCTACATCCCATACTCGCCTTTCCGCCGCCTCCCCGCTCTTCCACCGTCACTGGCGGAAATGCATTTTCGCAGCGGGGCGACTAAGGTGAGTTGCTAACCCCATCCATGGCGGTTTTTCGCAGCTGGGTGTTTGAAGCGAGTCTCTGTGCGATGCTTTTTTCTACCCTGTTTGGGCGGTTTTGGTGTCTCAATGGGGCATTTAAAGCGAGTCCCTGAGTAAGCCTTGCTCATATTTGTCAACCTGGTCGTACCCTTGGTGAAATTGGAATGAGGCCTCTTCTTAAGTGAGTCACCGGTTTGAATGCTATACATTCAAGCAGTCTTGAAGGACTTGTAAGAGTTGTTTATTTCACCTTTGCTTGGGAGTATTTATGTGCTTCCTCTTGTCAGCCTTGTTCGCTTGTATCTGATTTTCTCCCCCCTGTCCTCCCGTGCATTCTTTCAGGCCAATACAAGCACATCAGCATCAGCTGGAATGTCAGTACCAACACCACCATCCGCAGCAACAGCACTAACAGCACCCACAGCAGCAGCCGTTGCTTCCGATCGGCGTACCCACCTCCCCTCTTCCTTCGCCCCCACTCCGTCGCCCATGCATCCCCACCCCAACACCCCTCCGTACACCCACATTGGGCATGGTCACAGTCTGTATAATCACACTCCCGGACACCACACAGCGGCAGCTCTGGCAGGTGCAACCTCTGCAGCTTCTGCTGGTGCTGGTGCTTCTGCTGCTGGTGCTGCTAGTCGCGCTGCTACTGGTGCTGTCAGTGCGGGTGCTGGTTCGGCTGCTGGTGTTGCTCCTGCTGCGGCTAAGGCAACAGGAATTCATGGTGGTGCAACAGGTTTGGCAGGAGGAACGGGCTCTAGTGCACTAGGTGCTGGTAGAGTAGGGCACCAGCAGCACCCAGCGAGCCAGCAGGCCATGCAGCAGGGGACGGTAGGCTTAGCTTCAGCTGCAGGGTCTGGTGCGATGGTTGTTGGTAGAGGAGGGCACCAGCATTCAGCAAACCAGCAGGGGTTGCAGCAGCACGTGCCAGGTCAGCAACACATGCAACAGGCTCCGCTACAGCCACAGCAGCAGCAGCAGCAGCAGCAGCAACTGCAGCAGCAGCAGCCGCAGCAGCAGCCGCAGCAGCGTCAAGTTGTGACTCTAAAGGGGCCAGTGCCGCGGCCAAGGGAAAGATCAAAGCGGGTGAGATAATGGGGAATTCTGTGGATGGTGCAGCAGTGAAGATCATGCAGGAAGACACAGCAGCAGCAGCAGCAGCAGCAGCAGCAGCAGCGCCAGGTTGTGACTCTGAAGGGGCCAGTGCTTTGGCCGAGAGAAAGATCGAAGCAGGCACGATAGTGGGGAATGCAGTGGACGGTGAAACAGTGAGAAACGGTGAGAAACAGTGAGAAACAGTGTTGCATGTTCGGCGCACATGTCGATTCTGGAGCAATGATGGAGATGAGCATCCGGTGTGTCAAGCTGTGACCCTAAAGAGGCCAGTACCATGGCGAGGAGCAATTTGGAGTCGACTAAACAATTAGCGTGCTGCATGTTCGGCACACAGGTGGAGCCTGGAGCAGACAAGGGAGAGGCCAAGGGAGAGCTCGGAGGACACGATAGTGGGGAATGCAGCAGATGGTGCAGCGAGAAAGCGTGCTGCATGTTCGGCACACTTGTGGAGCTTGGAGCAGTGGTGGAGATAAGGATATGGTGCATCAAGCTGTGACTCGAAAGGGGCCATTGCTGCGGCCAAGAGGAAGATCGAAGCGGGCGCGATAGTGGGGATCGCAGCGGATGGTTCAGCGATGAAGATAATGCAAGCAGCCACAGCAGCAGCAACAGGAATGTCAGTGCGCTGCTATCTGCTGCTCTCCCCCCACCTTCTCTCCCCTCACCCCCGCTTCCTAGCTTTGAGACGTCTCAAAACATGAAGATAATGCAAGCAGCTATAGCAGCAGCAACAGGATCGTCAGTGCGCTGCTCCTCCCCTCCCCTCCTCCCCTCGTCCCCTCCCCTCCTCCCCTCCTCCTCCCCCCCCCCCCCCCCCTTGCCTCTCCCCTCTCCCCCGCTCCCCAACCACACAAGGATGTAAATCAAACTTAGTAAACAACTTGGGTTCCAGGTGGCATAAATGAAGATACATTGCTTAAGCATCTCCCATATGGCTCAACTTAATGATGGGACAGTGCTCGCTGGCTCAACTAGACTTCTATGGTGAAGACCCAACAGTGGTGGTGGTACAGTATTTTTTAGTGATTTATCATTTGTTGAAATTGAAACTCAACCTAGTAATTCATAACGAGACAAGTCTTAGAGTCAGCGGATTCTCTCGCGAAAACTTCCGCAGAATGGATTTTTCGAAAAGGGGTTCCTCCAATGAAGGATGGGGCGCCGCATCGCGTCGCATGACACCGTTCCAACTTCCAGTTGACTTACTTGCTGCATTCCTCCCCACACGAATTCGTCGCGTGAAGTGCGGAAGCCCGTTAGAACGTCGGCTGTTCGACTGGCAGTTTTTTCGCTGCTCGTGTCGCTTCCATTTCCGACTTCAATTTCTGACGCAGGAACATCTTTAGTCTATTTTCTACCAATCTGTTTCACTTGCTCGGGTTCATGATCTTGGTTCTCGTTCCTTCGATGCTTCTCCGTGTGAAGTGACGTTTTTTTAGCCATGAAGCTTCGCCGTATCTCTGGCTTGGTCCTGCTCCTTCTCTCCACTTCGCTTCTTCCCCTAGCTTCCTCGCGAGAATTGAAGTCGCAAGCAAATGGTTGCTCATGCTTGCCATGGCTCAGCTGCAGGTTCGTCGGGACTTGTGAGACAATCCCCACTGATTTGGGTTCCTCTGCAAACAGTTCTGATTTGGGATTGCAAACAGTTCTGTTTTCGTTGTATACTGACTTCTGTTTTATTTTTTTTTCTTAAACTGAAAATTCTGTTACTTTTTCTTGCGAGCCTTTCTTCTTTCTTTCAGCAAGATGACGTGGCCCGAGTTGCAGGGCATGAAGGGAGAGGCGGCTTACAATTACATCAACGCCAGGGTTCCGCAGTGCAACTGGAACATTTATATCATCGAGCGTTCGGCTTCTATTGCACTGGACTATCGTACCGATCGCATTTACATATTTGTGGACCAAAACGGAAAGGGGCTGGGGCGTCAGTTTCTGCCGTTCCTTCGCACGAGGAGGCTACCTTCACCGCAGCCGAGTGGAGCATCTGCGCGTCCATGCGCCTAGGCCTCCCTATTCAGCAGCTGATAGTGGCCGGCAAGTGCGCGTGTGGGTTTGAGTTTGCTGATCCCTCTGACCCGCATCATGCCCTTCGCTGCAAGTATCAGTATGCACCTTCTCGGGTTCACGATGCGGTTAAATTTGTGGTGGCGAAGATAGCTAAGGGTGCGGGTGGGATTGTGACCATGGAAGACGACACGTTGCTCCCAGGGAAGAGGGTTGATGTGGCGGTTCGGAAACTGAGGGAGGGGGAGGAGCACGCGCTGGAGGTTAGTGTGGTAGATCCTATCTCGCTATCCGCGCAGCACCATGGACAGATTGGTCGCAAGGTGGGTTTTGCCGCGAGAGAGAGAGAAAAGCGGAAGACGGCGGACTACAAATCGCTTCTACAGCGGCATGGGGGAGTGCAGTTCACACCACTCATTGCTGAGACATGGGGATGCTTGGGGGGGAGTTTTGGACGGTGGCTTAAGAAGCAGGGTGACGCGCAGATCGAGATAGCAAAGACGAAAGGGGCGGCGCGAGCTACGGGAAAGGGTTTCTCGGCTTATTTGCTCGGATCGCTCAAAGCGGCTGTGGGTGTGGCTTTGCAACGGGCTCAGGCGCGTGTGATCTTGTTACGCGCTGCGTCGATGATGAGAGGCCCAGAGGCTGTTTGGGTGGAGCGGGAGGATGTTGAGGAGGAGATGGGATGGGATGCTCCGTGGGCGGATGCACCATACTTGGTAGACATGCGGGTTTAGAAAGTGGGTTTAGGGGGGGAGGTTTGGTTCGATGGGAGTGCAGTTGGGGTGCTTTGATGGGAGGGCTTGATGGTGTTTTAAATGTGTGTGCTATTGGGGTTTTCTTGGGGTTGTGTGTGCTGCTTTTTCTTCCTTCTTCCCTGTTTTTCTTCCTCCTATCATTTTTCCCCTATTCCCCTCCTTCTTTCTTCCTCTCTCCTTTTTTCTACTCACGTTATTCCTCCTTTTCTCCTCTCTTCCCGTTTCCACTCCTTTTCCTTGCGTAATTATGCTACATTGTAATAGATAGTACCTCGATTGCTTAAAAAAAAAATATTAAAAAAAAAAAAAACGGAAAGGTTGATGGGATTCCAAAGGTTGGGTAAAAATCTGAAGTGCCCAATAATTATATGCTGATATATTAGTGGTTCACTGGTACCTGTACGTATTCTGCACAATTGCTGTAGCTATACTCTTTAGGAAGCGTAAATAATCTTAGTGGTGCGTGGAGAGGGTATGTATGTAGGTACAGGACCTCCACCTGTGTATGTATGTACGTACTAAACTGACAAATGGTTACTCAGTTTTCTAAATCAGGTTATCCAAAATCAACATTATCCGAAAGAGTGGTGCCACCAATGTATCTATTTCTGGGATGCCCTGTAGAATGAGACAAGAATCAACACGAGGGGGTGCAAGGAAAGTAAGCAAGGAATCTGGAAGGGAAACGAGGGAAAAAAATAGCAAGCATTTACAAATCTGACAACTGGATTATAATTATGCGGTTTTGAAGAGAAGAGAAGAGTGGAGCAGAAGGTTATGAGGAGAGGAGCGGAGTGGACAGTGGTGCACAAAGGAGTGGGGGAAGGGAAGTGAGGTAAGGAGGGTGAGGGAAAAAGAGCAGGGATGGGGAGTGTGAAGGAAAGAAAGGGAAAGGGAGTGAGGGAAGGGGAGTGAAGGACTGGGAGCTAGAGAAGCGCAAGTGAGGGACAAAAAATTGAGGGGGCGGGTTGGGAAGTTGTGAAAAGATAGTGCATGACAAGGTAGAAATAATAGAGAAGGATTACCTAGCAATGACAAAGCGCGTGATAGAGGGAATGAGCGGATGGCAGGAGCACGAGAGGGACAATGGAAAGTTGTGAAACGCGAGAGTATGAGGTGGTAGGAGAGAGGAAGTGGGATAGAGGGAGAGGAAGAGTTACCTAGCATTGACAAAGCGCGTGATAGAGGGAATGAGTGAATGGCAGGAGCAAGAGAGGGACGATGGAAAGTTGTGAAACGCGAGCGCAAGCGGTGGTAGGAGAGAGGGAGAGAAGCGTTACCTAGCATTGACCAAGGGCGTAATGGAGGGAGTGAGTGAATGGCAGGAGCATGGGAGGGACGATGGGGAGGTGGGGCATGGCTCTTGTGGAGCTTAAAGTGTTCTTGAAAGCTCATGAATCAGGATTCTGCTGCTGCTGTGCTGCTGCTGCTGCCGCCGCAGCCGCTGCTGCTGCCGCCGCAGCCGCTGCTGCTGATGCTGCTACTGATTCTGCTGCTTCTTATGAATCTGTTGTTCCATAAAAAATGCAATCGATGCGAGGGGGGGGAGGGACTGAGAACAGGAGAGTGTACAGGCAGAGTACGGTAACTTGTAAAGCACCCTACAAACTTGTATAGCTGAAAATTGAACTGTGCGACCAATTCACTGAAACCGCCCTTCTCCCCTGCACCGCGCTCCACCGATTTACACCCATCAGCGCACACCCATCATTGTCTCAAACCAATCATCACCGTCTCACACCCAACCGTTCTTTTTCCGCACCTGAACCACTGCCAATGCATCTAATCTAACCGCAAGGGCTCTGCTTCCCTGCACCGTTGTCAACTCAAAGTTGAGAGTTCAGACGACAAAAAAAAAAAATTACCGCACCTGAGCCATTGCGAGCGCGTCTAGCCCGTTGATCTCAACCTCCGCCCCTCCCCCACCCCACCCCCTCCCCACTCTGCTGACGTAAAAATTCCTCATCCTGCGCTGCTACCCCCACCGCTTTCCCCACCCCCTCCCGCTACCCCGCCTCCCCCCTCCCCCCCAACCCGCTGCTCCTCCTGCCATTTCCGCCACGCGCGGTTAGCCAAGCTCCGCCGCATTTTCCTTGCAAAGCATTGTACAGCTGCAGGGTGAGATTTGAGGTCGCGAAGCGGAGAGATTATGGAACGATTCAACGGAGAACTGCGGCAATCTCAAATCTCTGGGTTACCCTACAGATCCGCAGTTCTCCGCAGATCTGCGCCGTCTCCGCATTGGCACCATGGTCACGACACGCACGGGCCGCCGCGATTACCACTCACCGCATGGCAAAATGGGATAGGGAGACCTGGCGAAACTGGTGGCGACGCGTTCAGACCTAGTTCTCGTAGGTGGCTTGGGTGAGTTCGTACGCGCTGGTACTTGCGATAGTGGTTTCTGTTTCGTCGTGGATGCACACGTTTCTTGCAGAATTAGAGAGCTTCTTTTTCGTTTCATTTCAACTTTAGTGGCTCTTAAGTTTAAGCAGCTCAATTTATATCGAAACTGAACGGTGCTTGCAAAACGCGCCGTCAAGAAACCGCCAAGTTTTATTGACCACGACTTTCCCCACACCCTCTCCTGCCGTTCGGCTAGTGACCTTGGAAGGGCCCAATATATTTCACTTTCGAGAGCCGGTAGCGGTCGGTAGCGCCCGGTAGCGCTACCGACCGAGTCAGCACGCTGCCCGCGGGCAAAAAAAATAAACCCATGGCTTACGGCATGCCATTCGGGAGCCTCAACCCTAAAATTTTAGGGTTGAGGCTCCCTCGGATGGTATGCCCCCGACTGGGGTTTATTTTTTTTGTTGCCCGCGCTGACTCGATTGCACTGCCTGCTGACGCAGGCGGTGCAATATATATTCCAACTTCAAGGGTATTGCATGACGATTTCTACAACCGAATTCTGTAAGAAACAGTGACAAAATCGAGTTTGAACCAACCAGTATTCTCCAACAATGCTTACAAACCCTTCAAAGTCACTCCTCCAGCGACAAGAATACCGCACCTGCGACACCTTCAGGACGCGTCACAAGTAAAATATCGAGGAAGGATCAGGGTTGTTCACCGAACCTGTCAAACCGATCGCCATATCGGTGTGTCACGACTGCTTTGAAGTTTCAAGTGACACGGTCGTAAAAACATGGGGCAAAATTGCCCGATGTGGACGAAATTGCACGATCGATGTGTGACAGGGGCACATCGATCGCCTGACTTAGAAGGGAAAACTGTACGTTAGCGAAAATAAACGAAAATGTGTAACCACCTAAACACCGATTCTAGGCAGGATCGATGTTCTACTTGTGACGCGTCCTCAGTCCTCTCCGACTCCTGCGCCAACAGAACTGAACATGCGGGAAACGCATCACCAACCCATCATTTTCGTCAACGGTGGCGAGTTTAGCGAAAGGGAAAACCTGATCCAGATAATACAGTACTCCCACTCCCAACGTCTACCAAGATTCTCGACTCAAACCAAACTTCCTTCTCCTTCCACCTCCACTTCCTGAACCGCTTCCATTCACTCGTTCGGGAGTCAAGAATGCCGTTTCACTCATCAGTCAGGCTTCTTAGTCAAGCATTGAGATATATATAAACCTCAGCAGCAGCAAAAGCATCTTCGTAATAGTGTTGCAACCTCAGCTGCTCTGCTTCACAAGCTAGTTTCTTAAAGTTCGGGCTTCCTCTCTCCTGTGCCGTCAAGTATGGGGCTTCGCCGTCTCTTCCCCGTCTTGGGCTTGCTCCTCCTCTCTGCGTCGCTGCTTCCGCTCGCTTCCTCACGAGAATATCCGTCGCAGTCAATCGGTCGCCCGCGCCCTGAATTCGACTGCAGGTTCGTCGGGACTTCTTGAAGTGATAAGCGAGGTGGAAATGACTGTTCCACGTGGATTCGCTAATTTATCGCTGAATGTCATCGTCATGTCCATTCGTCAAACCATATTCTTATGTGCATTCGGCTATTTCTCCCCTTCCATTCGGCTATTTCTCCCCTTCCCCGCAGCAAGACGTCTTGGCCCGAGGTCGTGGGCATGAGAGGCGAGGCGGCTCGTGCCTACATTAAGACGTCTGTGCCGGAGTGCAACTGGTACATCCAAATTATCCCTTATGGGATGATGGTCATGCAGGATTATCGCACGGATCGCATTCGCATCCACGTGGACGAAGACGGGTTTGTTCACACAATTCCCGTGGTTGGGTAAATTTGCATATGCTTGTTTGCATATGCTTATTTGCATGTAAAAGTGTTTTCCATCCAAAGAAATACACGTTTTGGATGGTTGAGTTGTGGAATTCGTCGCCAGAAGCCGCAATTCGCTGGCACTTCACTCTCTGCGTCCGCGAACAGCGAACGAAATTGTCGATTTTCGCCCACAGTTTCGCTGATTCGTAATGCTTCACAATGCTCCCAAGGAACCTCCCAAAAGCTTCACAATCGAGCACAAGGAAGGAACCCCTTCAACCCTAATTCAAGGCGTAAAACCCCAGTCAACCATGGTCTTGATGCTTCTGCTAGTTCGAGATGCGTGAGTGTGCGCACAATTACTTGCTGAGCTGGCACGATCGAGCCATTCGCTGAGCTGGGGGAGGCCGCGCCACGGTCATGACTCTCGCGCTCTCCGCTGTAACCGCCGCAACTCGCGTTCAATCGCACCTCTGCGTTCGCTCCGCGCTCCGCCAGAGGCTCTGGCGGACGCATAAATTAATCCCAGGATCGTCTATTGAATATTCAAACGTTTCATCGAAGGGATCGCCTTTCAGTAGGTCATTGAGTGGATCATTTGACGGATTGTCGAACGGATCCGTTAACGGATCGTTGCCGCCTGATACTCGCGCATGGGCTCGGTCTGACCGTCGCATCACCGGATCGCGTTCTGTCTCGACGCTTGTCGTTCCTCGTAGAGCGTTGCTTTTCCCGTCGCTGCGCCATAGCCACCCGCCTAGGGCTCCTATTCCTGCAAGAGCGGGCAGGGTAGTTTCGGAATTAACCCCAGAATTTGGAGACAGATCTGAGGATCCATCCTTTGGGTACGCCTTAGAGGCTTTCGTAGAGCCGTCCATTTCCGAAACCTCTGTAGCGAAAGGGGCTACAGGTAGGAAGCGGCGCGCGCGCACGTCGAAATCGGTTAGCGCGACTGACGGACCTGCAGATGACGTGGCTAGATCTGACAGTGATGCCGTAGTTCCACGTGGCAGCGAGTCGGTGAATGCGCTGGAATCTACCCTGGGTCAAGAAAGTGTCACACGCGTAACTGGCAGGCGAGGTCGCCGAGTGGCTAGTAACGAAACTGCTAGTAGCGAGGATTCGGGTGCGGGGAAGCCTGCAGCTGGCGGAACCGGAAAGAGGACGCGCGGCCGACCGCGGAAGCAGGCGGAAGGGGGAGCGGCGGAAGCGGAGAAGCCGCCGTCCAGCCCCAAAGTTGGGGCGGAAGGAAACGCGGGCGAAGGAGAATCTGCAGTGATTGAGGGGAAAGCTGTAGCAGAGGCTGAAGGCGCGCCGAAGAAGGCAGGTAGGAGTAGGTGGAGCGCAGACGAGCTTTTGCTGTCTCGCGGGCTGACCACACAGGCTGTAGCAGCGTCCTCCCCGGCTGTAGCAGGGCCATCCCAGGCTGTAGCAGGGCCGTCCCTGGCCGTAGCAGGGCGAGAGTCTCAGGCTTTCAGATCTGCGTATTCTAATCGAGCTAGCTATAGTACGGACGGAACGCGACGGGAGCGCGCGGAAGGAGGAGCGGCGGGCGGGATGAGAGGCGCCGCAGCGGGCGGGGGAAAAAGGGGGTCCCAAGGTGCTGACGTGGCGGCAGCAGGGGGAAGAGCGGAAAGAGCAGCGGATGCGGGTCCTCAGGCCAGGGGGAAGGGCGGGAAGGGGAAGGGACGGGGCGGAGGCGGAGGCGGGGGAGAGAAAGGCGGAGGAAAAGGCGGAAGGGGAGGCGGAGGGGATGGCGGAGCGGTAGGGGGGGCAGGGGGGGAGAAGCTGGCGCAGAACAGAACAGCTTATCTGCAGGTGCTGGGGACGGGAATGGACACGGGGGACACTTCCCCCTGCGTGCTGCTGTTCTTCGAGCGGCTGCGCCTGGTGTTCAACGCGGGCGAGGGGCTGCAGCGCCTCTGCATAGAGCACCGAATTCGCCTCTCTAAGGTGTGTCAGGGGTTCGGGGTTTTAGGAGGTGGGGGGTCGGGAATAAGGGTTGGGGGCTGCGCCTGGTGTTCAACGCGGGGGAGGGGCTGCAGCGCCTCTGCATTGAGCACCGCATCCGCCTCTCCAAGGTTAGTCTGGGTTTGGAGTCTGGGTTAGTCTCCAAGGTTAGTCTGGGTTTGGAGTTTAATTGCACAGTTTTCTTCCATCCCACTTTCCCCGTCACCCGTCCCCCTTTCCCTTTCCCCTTCCCAACAGCATGTATGCTGGCGGGCTGCTAGGCACGCTGCTGGCAAATCTTCAACCACCTCCCCTCCCATCCCACTTTCCCGTCTCCCGTCCCCCTTCCCCTTTCCCCTTCCCCTATCCCATTCCCATCAGGTGGATACGATATTCCTCTCCCGCGTGTGCACCGAGTCGGCTGGGGGTTTCCCAGGCATGCTGCTGCTGACAAGTCTTTCCCACTCCTCATCCCCCTTCCTCCTCCCCCCTCCATGACCCCCTCCTTCCGTAAACCCCAACAGGTGGATAAGATCTTCCTCTCCCGCGTGTGCACCGAGACGGCTGGCGGGCTGCCAGGCATGCTGCTGACGCTCGCCAACACGGGGGAGACAGGTGTCACGGTGAGTGCGAATCTGAGGATGAGGGTTCAGGGGACAGGGGATAGGAAGAGATACAGCTGGGGTGGGGGGCTGCCAGGCATGCTGCTGACGCTCGCCAACACGGGGGAAACTGGCATTACTGTGAGTGCGGGTTTGAGAATCAGGGTTTGGGGTTGGGAGAACGGTGTCTGGGCAAGGGCTTAGGGTGCAACTGTGCTTGCTGCAGCTCTCTTACTTATTTACACCCTCTTTAAATGGGCACGCAGGGATCATCACGTCTTGCTACAAGATTGGCTGACCCCTCTTACTAAGCCCTGCGGCCTTCATTCCGCTCTCCCCTCCCCTCCCCCGTCTCCCCGTCTCCCTCCCCCCCCCCCCCCCCCCCCCCCCCCCCTCCTCCTCCCCACCATCCCCCAACCTGCTCTTTCCTCCGTTTGCCAGGTGGACATCTGTGGACCGTCGGATCTTCATCGGCTCGCAGCAGCCATGCGCTGCTTCGTGGGCGCAGCTTCGGTCCGAACCTCCAGCTTCGGCAGCAGCAGCCCTGGGCGTGAGTCATACCCCCACGCCCCCCTCCCTGCTTTCTATAAGGCAGCAGCAACAGCAACAGCAGCAACAGCAGCAGCAGCAACAGGTGCTGGGTTCAGGGCAGGAGCAGGGAACGGAAGCAGCTATGCAGGAGCAGCAGAAGTTGGAACAGCAGGAGGACAAGAGTGCATACATAGTGCATGACGATGGGGATGTCAAGATCACTGCTGTGCTGCTTGAACCTGTGTTACCAGAAATAACAGCATCATCATCATCAGCAGCAGCAGCAGCAGCCAGTTCCCTCAACACCATCGCCTCGATTAGCAGCACGGTGCTCCCTTCGCCGTCCGCTTCCTTCAAGGAGTTGACTCTCTTGCAACTGAAGGGAGGCGGATTGGCAGGAGAGGGAGCGACAGGTGTCAGTTCCAAAGCGGCCCTCCCCTCTGCCACGTCAGCGAAGCGTCCCAGTCCTTCCGGCCCTGCTGGCATCAGCAGCGGGTGGGACACAGTCAGCGCTGGAATTGAGAAGCGTGCGAGGGTGGATGGGGAGAGAAGGGAGGAAGCATCAGGAGCAGCAGTGGGGAATGTGGCATCAATGGCGGCACCAGCAGCAGCAGGCATGGGAGGAACAGCAGCAGCTGCGGGGATGGCATCAGTGGTGTATGTGTGCGAGTTGCCGACAGCAGCAGGGAAGTTCGACCCAAAACGCGCAGCAGCCATGGGCATCCGCCCGGGCCCCAAGTACCGGCGATTGCAGATGGGGGAGAGCGTTCCTTCGGACGATGGGAGTAAGACGGTGAGTGGTGGCTGTTGGGTTGGGAGTGTGCATCGCAGGCAGCAAGCCGACAGCAGCAGGGAAGTATGACCCCAAGCGTGCGGCAGCAATGGGAATCCGCCCGGGCCCTGGCCCCAAGTACTGGCGATTGCAGATGGGGGAGAGCGTTCCTTCGGACGACGGGAGTAAGACGGTGAGTGGTGGCTGTTGGGTTGGGAGTGTGCATCGCAGGCAGCAAGCCGACAGCAGCATGGAAGTATGACTCCAAGCGCGCGGCAGCAATGGTAATCCGCCCTGGCCTGGCCCCAAGTACCGGCGCCTGCAGATGGGGGAGAGCGTTCCTAGTGAGGATGGAAGCACCATGGTGAGGGAATGTGCTCAGTGCGGTGTCTTTGTGTGCAAAGCGGTGCAAGTGTTTGTCACTGGGAGCAAGCGGGCAGCAGCCATGGGCATCCGCCCCGGCCACAAGTACCCCAAGCGCGCAGCGGCCATGGGTATCCGCCCCGGTCCCAAGTACCAGCGCCTGCAGATGGGGGAGAGCCTGCCTTCGGACGATGGGAGCACCATGGTGAGTGAATCTGTGCATGCGTGTGTGTGTGTGTGTGAAGGCTAGTGTGTGAAGGCTAGTGTATGAGTTGCCGACAGCAGCAGAGAAGTTTGACTCACAGCGCGCAGCAGCCATGGGCATCCATCGCGGCCTCAAGTTCCGGCGCCTGCCGATGGGGGAGAGCGTTCCTAGTGATGATGGGAGCACCATGGTGAGCGCGTGTGTGCATTGCATGGAGGCTGGGTGCAAGAGAGTGATTGCAGCAGGGAAGTTTGACCAAAGCGCGCAGCAGCCATGGGAATCCAAACCGACTCCATCCTCTTGCTGGGTTTAGGGTTTAGGGTTCAGGGTTTAGGGTTCAGGGTTTAGGGTTTAGGGTTTAGGCGTGGTGAAACTCTCCTTGCAATCTGCTTCTCTCTCTTCCCTTCATTGCCCACCCCTCCGGTTCATCCGTCTGACGTGCTCGAAGCATCGATTCCAGGCCCCGTTGTCCTCCTTATAGACTGCCTCACTCTTTTCTTTCCCCCCTCTCCCCCCTCTCCCCCCCTCGCCCCCCTCTCCCCACCTCCTCCGTATCCCCTTCTCCTCAGGTTAACCCTTCTGACGTGCTCGAAGCATCGATCCCAGGCCCTGTTGTCCTCCTTATAGACTGCCCCACTGCAAGCCACACGCAAGCCCTCCTGCAGTCGCCGCAGCTGCAGCGATTCTGCATCAGCCACCGCCAGGAATCCAAGAGTGACAATAACGGGAAGAGTGACAGTAACGGGAGTGACTATAAGGAGGTGACAGTGGCAGTGCATGTGAGCCCAGAGGCGGTGGTGGAAGAGGAGCAGTATCGGCAGTGGATGGGCATGCTGGGTCCCAACACCACGCACGTACTGGCAGGGCATGGCAGGTAAGCACGTGTTGGCATACTGGCATAGCAGAGGCGGTGGTGAAGGAGGAGCAGTATCGGCAGTGGATGGGCATGCTGCTGGGTGCCAACACCACGCACGTGTTAGCAGGGCATGGCAGGTAAGCGCATGCATGGGGGTTAAAAAACATGGGAGGTAAGGGCATACCAGGTACATGGAGATGTGATTTGCTTGTGGCAGTGCATGTGAGCCCAGAGGCGGTGATGGAGGAGGAGCAGTATCGGCGATGGATGGGCATGCTGGGTGCCAACACCACGCATGTCCTGGCAGGGTATGTCACGCAAGTCCACACGTCTTAGCTGGAATCAGCACTCGCAGTCAGGTGGGACAGGTGGCATGTGCATGTGCATGTGCCGTTAGTCCCCAAAGTTACCCCGTGTGCATTTGAGTGCCCCCCCAGGGCTAGCAGCGGGGATCACGTCTTTTAGTCAACTCAAAAACCGACTCATCACACCGGGGTCACTTTCGAGAATTCTCTGTTTTAAGAATTTTCAGATTAGTTGAAATCATTCAATCTTTAGAATTCTCGAAGGTGGCACGGCACGTGCACGTGTCGTCAGGATCTTTGATGAGTGTCCTCCTGTGCTGGGCGGGAGTGACAGCCAAGCTGACAGCAAAGCTGCACTACGTGTGTCCGCACCTCGTCCCTGCACCATACGACCACACACTGAGTGAATCACCCTACACACTTCAACCCCACCCCACCCCACCCCACCCCACTCCCCACTCCGCTCCCCACCCCACCACCACCCAGGGCCTTGGAGTGCCCGCCTGTACTAGCGGGCAGTGCAGCCCGGTCAACCAATCTCCAGTACATGTCCCCACACCTCTTTCCTGGATCATGCCATGCTAGCGAGTGCTGTGGGGTTGCAAGTCTTTCCTGAACCATGCCATGCAGTGCAACCCCGCAGCACTCACTAGTCAAGACTTGTGATGACTCACCCCATGCACGCCCCCACCCCCATGTGATGAGTCGATTTTTGAGTGGACTCATCACATGCAACCCCACAGCACTCACTAGTCATGTCATGTCGTGACTCACCATACTAGTCAAGACTTGACTCACCCATGCATGCCCCCACCCCCATCCCCAACCCTCCTGCCCCTCCTACTACTTTCAGGGCCTTCGAGTGCCCGCCTGTGCTTGCGGGGAGTGCTGCTCTGACGACAAAGCTGCACTACGTGTGTCCACACCTCTTTCCTGAACCGTATGATCACACTCTGACAAGGAGGACAGGGGAAGCCGCTGCAGCAGGAGGAGGAACATCAGCAGCAGCAGCAGCAGCAGCACAGAAGTATGAGCTGCAGGTGAGTGGGCTTTCAGACGTCTACATGTGTCTGCACCTTTTTCCTGAACCGTACGACCACACGCTGGCACGGAGGGCAGGGGAAGCAGCAGCAGGAACAGCACAGAAGTATGAGATAGAGGTGAGTGCCATAAAGTGGGCCGCGGAACAATGGCATTTACACGATGTGCAACAGGCTCCACTACGTGTGTCCACACCTCTTCCCTGAACCATATGATCACACTCTGAAAAGAAGGACAGGGGAAGCCGCTGCAGCAGGAGGAGGAACATCAGCAGCAGCAGCAGCAGCAGCAGCAGCAGCAGCAGCACAGATGTATGAGCTGGAGGTGAGTGCGATTGATGCTGTCAGCCTGACAGCCAAACCTTTGAGGCGCCTCAAAAGTGCGATTGATGCTGTCAGCCCGACAGCCAAACCTTTGAGGCGCCTCAAAAGTGCGATTGATGCTGTCAGCCCGACAGCCAAACCTTTGAGGCGCCTCAAAAGTGCGATTGATGCTGTCAGCCCGACAGCCAAACCTTTGAGGCGCCTCAAAAGTGCGATTGATGCTGTCAGCCCGACAGCCAAACCTTTGAGGCGCCTCAAAAGTGCGATTGATGCTGTCAGCCCGACAGCCAAACCTTTGAGGCGCCTCAAAAGTGCGATTGATGCTGTCAGCCCGACAGCCAAACCTTTGAGGCGCCTCAAAAGTGCGATTGATGCTGTCAGCCCGACAGCCAAACTCCTAAAGCCACTTCTTTTTCCTCACCTTGTTGCACGCACCCCTTCCCCACCCACTCCCCTCCTCGCCCTGTGCATGAGCCCCCACTCAGCCTGGCAATTATGAATGATCATCGCCCTCCCCTCAGCCTGGCAATTATCGCCCTCCCCTCACCTCTTGAGCTTCTCCCCTCTTATGTTAACCTCGCCTTCCCACCCTTCGTGTATGAACTGGTGTTTTGAGACGTCTCAGCTATGTGGATTTTACTTTTGAGACGTCTCAGCTATGTGGATTTTACTTTTGAGACGTCTCAAAACACTACATCATACACGTGGCACCTCTTGAGCTTCTCCCCTTTTTGAGGCGCCTCAAAAATATGTTAGCCTCGCCTAGCCCTCCTCCCCCCCTGCTAGGACGCCTAGCCGTCCTCCCCCCCCCTCTTGCTCGCCGCATTGTCATTGTCCTTTCGAATCCACCTCCCAACCCAACTTCCACCCTCCTGTCACCTCTTCCACCCTCCTGTCACCTCTTCCACCCTCCTGTCACCTCTTCCACCCTCCTGTCACCTCTTCCACCCTCCTGTCACCTCGTCCACCCTCCTGTCACCTCGTCCACCCTCCTGTCACCTCTTCCACCCTCCTGTCACCTCTTCCACCCTCCTGTCACCTCGTCCACCCTCCTGTCACCTCTTCCACCCTCCTGTCACCTCGTCCACCCTCCTGTCACCTCTTCCACCCTCCTGTCACCTCTTCCACCCTCCTGTCACCTCGTCCACCCTCCTGTCACCTCGTCCACCCTCCTGTCACCTCTTCCACCCTCCTGCCACCTCTTCCACCCTCCTGTCACCTCGCAAACCCCTAATCCTCTCTCTTCCCCTTCTCAACCTCTGTCCCTTCTCCACCCTCTCCCTGCCGCAGCCTGTGGATGGATGGATGGACTCCCGCTCAGCCCGACTGTCTTTTGACAATTCTCAAAAATCACTCCCGCTCGGCCCGACTGTCACTGCTCTTGTGCTCGTTCAAATTCACCTCCCCTTGTTCACCCGCTTCTCTCGCCCCCTCTTCCCACCCCACCCCTCACCTCCTCAGCCTGTGGATGGACTCCCGCTCGGCCCAGTCGTCATTGCCAAGAACCTTCTCAAGGTCAGTGCCTTGCCTTCCACGAATCTTCTGGTGAAGTTACTAGCTGACTTTTGAGTCGACTCAAAAGTCAGCACGAATCTTTGGGTGAAGGTACTTGGTATCGGAGTTTCTTCTCCATCCTTTTCTTTTTTGGAAGAGAGGAAAGTGTGGGGGAAAGAGAACGGAAGGGGGGGGAAGAGGGGAGAGAGACGGTAGGATGTGGAACAACCTTAGGCATCCGAATCCCAAGGTTGTTTTGTTCCACATCCTAACAGCCTTAGATGGTAGCAGATATCCGCCTCTTGAGTCGACTCAAAAGTCAGCTCATTGTTTTGTTCCACATCCTAACAGCCTTAGATGGTAGCAGATATCCGCCTCTTGAGTCGACTCAAAAGTCAGCTCGTTGTTTTGTTCCACATCCTAACAGCCTTAGATGGTAGCAGATATCCGCCTCTTGAGTCGACTCAAAAGTCAGCTCGTTGTTTTGTTCCACATCCTAACAGCCTTAGATGGTAGCAGATATCCGCCTCTTGAGTCGACTCAAAAGTCAGCTCGTTGTTTTGTTCCACATCCTAACAGCCTTAGATGGTAGCAGATATCCAACTGTGATCCCCCCCGCCCGTCCCTTCGCCCGGAGTCCGCACATCATTGGGCTGCCCGTTTCCCCTATCTGGAGCAAACGAGCAAACTTAGAACCTCCATCCCATCACTACACCCTCACGCACCTTCTTCCCAACTCCACAGCTCAATCAACCTTCGAGGTGTCCAGTTGACTTTTGAGTCAGCAGTGCCGCCCGCCCGCTTTTGACTCAAAAGTCTTCCCAACCAACTCCACAGCTCAATCAACCTGCGAGGTGTCCCTGTACTGGGGATTGACACGTCAGCAGTGCCGCCCGCTTTCGACGCCAGGAGCAGCCGAGAAACGGAGCAACCAAACCTCCCTCCGGTTCTTTCCCCCCTCCCCCCTCCCCCCCTCCCCCCCTCCCCCCCCCCCCTCCCCCCCTGCCCCCCTCCCCCCCTCCCCCCTCCCGGTGACTTTTGAGTCGACTCAAAGGTTTTTTCCCCCCTCCCCCCCTCCCCCCCTCCTCCCTCCCACCCCCCACCGCCCAATTTCCCCACAGGTCAACCTGAGAGGTGCCCCCGTTCTAGGAGTTGACACGTCAGCAGTGCCGCCCGAGTTCAACGCCAGGAGCACTGTTCACCACCTGCTGCGGAACATTCCGGAGCTCGAGGAAGCTTCCAAGAAGGTGGCTGCGGACTGGGGATTGGGGAGCAAGGAGAAGGAGGGGGAGAAAATGGGGGAGGTTGAGGAAGAGAGGATGGGAGACGAAGGGGAAAGGGGAGGAGGGAGAGGAAGGAGCGAGGGAGGGAGGAGTGAGAAGGATGTGCTGCAGCAGGGTGTTGATAAGGAGGACAAGGCACCGGCTTGCCTACAAGGCATGGGCAGGGAGGAGGTGGAGGTGGTGTTTCTCGGCACAGGCTCATCCCAGCCGTCCAAGTACCGCAATCTGAGTGGCATCTACGTTCACCTGTTCGACCGGGGAGGGATGATTCTGGACTGCGGGGAGGGCAGCTACGCGCAACTGACCAGACGGTGAGTGGGGGCGAGAGAGGTAGTGTGTGAGAGGAAGTGTGAGGAGAAAGCGGGGCTCATCCCAGCCGTCCAAGTACCACAATCTGAGTGGCATCTACGTTCACCTGTTCGACCGGGGAGGGATGATTCTGGACTGCGGGGAGGGCAGCTACGCCCAATTGACCAGACGGTGAGTGGGGGCGAGAGAGGTAGTGTGTGAGAGGAAGTGTGTGAGAGGAAGTGTGTGAGAGGTAGGAGGGGCGCATCCCAGCCGTCCAAGTACCGCAATCTGAGTGGCATCTACGTGCACCGGTTCGACCGCGGAGGCATGATATTAGACTGTGGGGAGGACACCTACGCTCAACTGACCAGACGGTGAGTAGGCGAGAGAGAGGTAGATGGATTCAGTGTGTGTGGTAGTGTGAGCCTCTGAGGGGAAACACGGGCTCATCCCAGCCGTCCAAGTACCGCAATCTGAGTGGAATATACGTTCACCAATTCGACCTGGGCGGCATGATTTTGGACTGTGGCGAGGGCAGCTACGCGCAGCTCACCAGACGGTGAGTCGGTGGGTGGGGGTTGGATCGTCCATACATGTGGGCTTAGGCAAGGCATGTACATGCACTGGTTTGATCTGGGGGAGGGTGATTCTGGGCTGTGGGGTTTACTGGATCATTTTTACATGTGGGCTTAGGCAAGGCATGTACATGCACTGGTTTGATCTGGGAGGGATGATTTAGATCCTGTACATACAGGAAAGCCATGCTAAACAGACCAAGAAAGCATATTTTTCTGTTACCATAACAGAATGTTTTTAACGTACCATCCTCCCAACCCCCCACTGCTTTGTTGATTCTTACAGGTTCGGGCCTGAAAAGGCGGAGGATATTATAGCGGGTCTGAAGTGTATTTGGATCTCCCACATTCACGCCGACCATCACACGGGGCTCGTCAGAATTCTTGCTGCCCGAAGAGACATTCTTTTGCGCCGGGCAGCTCAGCGGGCAGCTGAACGGGCAGTCCCCAGGGCAGGTTCTCAGGAAACGTTTGAGAAGATGGAGACAGAGGAACTAGACAATAGTGCTACAGTGCCCGTGCCGCCTATTCTGGTCGTCGGGCCGAAGCAGCTTCGGCGGTATCTGGAGGCGTATCAGACGTTTGAAAGCCTCCACTCGACGTTTTTGGACTGTAGCCAAACGACAAGAGATGCAGCCGCTCTTGCTGCCAAAGCAGGAGCAGGTGAAGCAGCACGTAGTGTTGCTGCTGCTGCCACTGCTGCTGCTGCTACGGGGTTGGATGGAGGGATGGATGAAGGCGATGGGAGGGATCAGTGTGGACTCATCTGGCAAAAGGAAACTCTGTCTAAGCAGCAGCAGTCAGGGGGTTACCAGCAAAGACCTGACTCAGCAGACAGTCAAGAAAGCAGAGAGAAAGAGAGGAGGGGCCTCCGTCCCTTCTGGCTCAAGACAGGGTTCCACCTGGAGGACGGGGGTTTGGACGAGCCGGGCAGGCGGCAGCTGGGGGAGGTGTTATCTGCGCTTGGGCTGACCCGGCTGGAGAGTGTGCCTGTGGTGCATTGCCCCCAGGCGTTTGCTGTGGTGCTGGAGGGGCGGGTGAGGGGGCGAGAGAAGGGGCGGGTGAAGGGGAGAGAGAAGGGGAGAGAGAAGGGGAGAGAGAAGGGGAGAGAGAAGGGGAGAGAGAAGGGGAGAGAGAAGGGGAGTGGTGAGGAAGCTTTGTGGAAGCTGGTGTATTCGGGTGACACTCGCCCGTGCGATACTGTGAGGGCGGCGAGTCGAGGCGCCACAGTGCTGATTCACGAGGTAAGCTGGGGGAGGTGTTATATGGGGAAGGTGTGATCTGGGGGAGATGTAACCTGAGCTGGGCTGGCCAGGCTAGAGAGTGTGCTCGTAGTGCATTGCCCCCAGGCGTTTGCTGTGGTGCTGGAGGGGCAGTAGAGGTGGTTGAGGTGGTATAGGTGGTATAGGTGGTAGAGGTGGGTGCTTCCCCATCCTAGCACCAGTAGCTTCCTCACCCTCTCCCCGTCCATCCCGTCCATTCCTTTCCTTCCCACGTTTCCAGGCAACCTTTGAGGATGATCTGCAGCACGAAGCCATAGCTCGAAAGCACAGCACAACGAGTGAGGCGGTAGAGGTGTGGGTACCCCTCGCCTGCACCTTTACCTTCCATCAGCTTCTTTTCTTCCTATCCCCATCCCCATCCCACACACACTCCCATGTGACATTTGAGGGTGATTTGCCACACGAGGCGATAGCTCGAAAGCACAGCACGACCAGTGAGGCGGTAGAGGTGGGTGCATCTACCCATCCCAGCACTGTCCATCAACTTCTCCCCTTCCGATCCAACCCACCCCTCTCTCTCACGCACCCGCAGGCGACCTTTGAGGATGATTTGCAGCACGAGGCGATAGCTCGAAAGCACAGCACGACAAGTGAGGCGGTGGAGGTGGGTGCATCTGCCCCCGCCTATCGCACCATTCTCACCCATTTCAGTCAGCGCTACCCTAAAATTCCCCGCCTTGCGCCGCCGGTGAAAAATAAGAAGAGAGGGGATGGTGGTGCAGGTGGTGGAGATGTGGAGGGCGGCGAGGGTGGGAGTGCGGCGATTGCGTTTGATTTGATGTCGGTGAATTTTTGCGACTTGCCGAGGCTGCCGGAGTTGGTGCCTGTTTTTCAGCTTCTGTTTAGGGATGCGTTGGAAGAGGAGGAAGAGGAGAAAGAGGAGGGAGAATGAAAAGGGATTTCATTAATCTTGAGAACTGGTTCAGTTGTTGATTGAATGTCTTTTTGTTCTCATTTTTTGTCTAATGTGTAGCTTTGGTTCGGATTTTTACACGTTTGATATCTATATTGTTATGAGGCTTGAGGTCCAGTTGACCCTCGTGGCATTCTTGCTCGTCTCCCCCAGGGACACTGCCAAATTACAGTGTACAGTCCGGTCAACTTTTTGGTATATCCGTGGACGAATAATCAAATGCCACGGATGTGTCTCCAAGAACGCCACGACTGAGACAGACATTTTACAGCGAGTCGCTATGAGGTGTGGCAGGTGGGATGGTGGTGGTGCCCACCAGCAGCCCTTGGAAGTACGGTACAGCAATATATTTTGACTGAGAGCACATCAGTTTTCGCAATTCATCTCAGTATATATTTGACGCTGACAGTGCAATATATTTTTCCCATTCCACGCGCTCTTGGCACACGCTGGGGGACCCTCACACCTAGGTGAAAGTACTAGAATCCACCTGTAAGCCTCTGGTAACTGAGGTGAAAGAACTACGAGGTGGATTCTCAGCGTTACTTTAAGTGCTACTTATGTCCCACACCCAGGTTGCGTTTGTATTACGCGGGGAGGGGAGGCAGCTTTCGTGGCACTCCGGGCTAAAAAATGGAAGCGATAGTTCCCAGAATGGAAAGACGCCCAAAATGCTTGGGAAGCAAACTGCTTCCAGAATGTAGAGCTCTCTGGAAGTCTTCGCCACCTTGGTTCTTGGTTCTAACTCGTGCGTGAGTGAGAGTTCTGCTTGCCCTTGGCCAAATAAAGCCTCCAGAAGCGTCTCAGCTCTTCTAAACCGCATTCGATCCTTCTCTTTGCTCTCCCATTTTCAGTCCACTTCACCCCCACCATTCCCTTGTTTCCTTCACTCGTGTCTCAAACAGAAAAGGTACAGAACACACTTCCCGAAACTGACGACCAACAACTTCCACTCCATTGCTGCATGGCGTGTCGTGTTCTCACCCACAAACATCAAACAACAGCTTGTTTGATACGTAGCATGCCTGACAGCAATCTGTGAAAATACGCCCAAAGGCCACCCTCTTTCGATGCGGTGAGAACTGAATCCCATGCCAATTGCGTCGCATTATGAGGAATTCTGAATCAAAAGTCGGTCAGAAGCAATTTCCGCATCATGAGGCCGACTCGGAGGCGAATTCGGTGTCCTGCCCATCAGCCTGCCACTGCTGAAGGGAGATGTCCTGCTGCGGCTGTAATGTCCGCAAAGTGATGTCCGCGGCATCATTGTACAGCCGCTGATGACGGGAAAGGAACAAACGTCACATCAGCTGTATTTAGCTAGACTGGCTGGCGATGAGGTAGCTGACAGTCAGTTCAGTCGTACAAAGCGTTGGCTTGTTCGTCAAACTCCGCCGCAAGCATCCTTCCTTTCCGTCCTAAAACGTAGAATTTCATGAAGCGAGGCGAATGCTCGGCAGCGTCCTTCAACCCCCTTCGAGGCTCATACCTTCACGCGCCCTGTCTTGCTTCCAAAAATTCCCTTGGGATTGACGCGATTGTTTCAGCACGCGTGCTGTGCTTACAGCCACGCTGCACGCAGACAGCCTGCCCTCGTATTGCGTTCTTGTCCTACTAAGCACCTTCTTTAGGCTGGCAAACTGACGAGTGCGGTCGGTAATAACGAAGTTGCAAGCAGCTTTCTGGCGAATCGTACGGCCTCGTACGGACCACTCACCACGATCGCCAACAACTCGCCGAATCTGTTCCCTCCTCCTTTCGAGCCATCAACAACGCGGGCCGCGCAATCGAACCACCCACCACACCTCACCAACGGGAGCGGGAACGCACGGCTCCAGTCTCTTCACGAGATTGCTGAGATTCGAAACTTTTCTGCAACGCTTCCGGTGCCGTGTGTGCTGACGACAGCCACGTGGGGGGTCTGGCCAGGGGCTATTGGTTCCGCCGTGGTCGCTGCACATTTTCCAAGGGAGCAGAAACGCGAGATTATGACGCTGGCTACTACTCTTCCACGCAAGGAGTGGGGGAATCATAGCTACTAGCGACTCCGGGCCATTGCTGAGAATCTCCCGATTTCGTCCATTTCCAGTGCTTCGCGCAGAATCTCAGCCCAACCGTTGCTCCGGACTCTCAGAGGATCTATGCCGCTGTATGTGTGCGATGTGTCGCTGAGGGCACCCGATCTCGGATCAAAGCTGCTAAACTTTCGGTTTGGCTGCACCCGCCCTCTCGGATCAAGGGATGCTGACACTCAACCTTCTCGTAAGAGATGCGCGAAGGCCGTGACAGTATGATCGCCGTACTACTTGAGGTGTGCCGATGTGATGAGTCATGTGGCCGTCACAAAACTCACTGCGCAATGAAACAGCGTGAGACTTCAGCACCATGACCAGAAGAAGCAGTCGCACAGTTTTCCTTAGCAACGACACGAGTGATGCGCAATCGACGAACAGCTGACGATATAATAGGCGTCGTCCTGGTGTTTGAAGACCTAGGAAAACCTCTTCACGCTGCGTCAAACGCCTTTCACTAAGACCGTACACTCCCAAGTGTAGTAAGCAGACCTCCTACACAACGAAGCTCCTAATCAGCGACGGTCTGCGTCGGCGCGCCTAAGCAGCAGCGGCGCTCCTAACAGACGCGGCGCGCAGGCTACAAAGTCGTTAGTACGACTAAGCAAACCAGTGTAAGGTCTGTAGCGTAAAAGGCGTCAGATTTGCTCTCCACCCGTCATTTTTTGCGGCGAAGTCTAAGAGAGCATTTGAAGACTCGGGGCGCTAGTAGAAGCAGAGCCCTCGACGGGGACGTGATCAGGGTTGCGTCGTGAGCGTCGCGCAGCAAAACTTCGTTCAAAAGACTGCTAACGGCGCGTCAACCGATTTCGCACCTCTGGTAGAGAAATGAGCCGCCTCCCTCCGACCGCCAGTGGGAGTCAGAGCCTGAGCCAGGGATCGAATCCGAACCAGAGTCGAAGCCTAAATCAGAATTCGAGCCTAGACCAGAGTCCGAGCCTGGGCCAGAATCCGAGCCTGAAGCAGAGTCCGAGCAAGGGCAATAAAAACCAGAGTCGAAATCAGAATCGAGGTCAGGGTGAGAATCGGAGCCGAAATCGCAGTAACGACAGTCTTCTCGCTAGCATTCTACTGCAGCGACATTCGAACCGCATGCGACTCGATGCCTCCGCCGCCGCCGCCGCCGCTTCTGCCGAGCGAGAGAGCCTCAGCGGACGCGGCGGCGGAAAGGAATTCGCAGCGCCTCCCGCGGAACGCAGCGACGGAGCGGATCACGTCGCAGCGCTTGGCCTTAGGACCACCCTGACGGCTTTATCGCCAACTATCCAGACGGGAGCCGCCGGGTTCGAGACAAATCAGGTGACGAGGCAGTCAGTACCGCGGCAATCCCAAGGTCCACCCGCGGAGAGATTTCCGGCACCGCAACAGGGATTGGCGCAGCAGGAAATTCACGCGGCGGAACAACAGCGCTTACTAGCGCTTGCACTAACAGGGCAAGCGCAGCCGCAGCGACATGAACAGCTGCAGTTGCACGAACAAGAGGATACGGAGCAGATGCAGCAGCTACAGCAGCGAGAGAGAAATGAGGGAGGAGGTTTCAGCGGGAGAGGAGTTGGTTCGACGAGCCAGTACGCGGACGTTTTTGAAACCCTAGCCAGCTGCGGAAGGTTTGCAGAGGAATCACAGCAACGCGTCCCCGTCTCAAGGTACGTTCCGTTATTCGCTTTAAAATGTTGCAGATATGACTGCATGTGTTCCGTCTCAAAGTAATATAAAATCAAAGCGGCTGTTGTCTTTTTAATCAGAGGGGCATGTGGCAGATGAATCACTGCACTATTCCAACACATTTTCTTATTGCTTCCGTCCCTTCCAGACATGGCAATACAATAGTGGCTCATACAGACGTTCTAATGGGTCATATAGCAAGCGAGACGCCAGCCCAACCACCGATGAATGACCACCGACACACAAGTGCACCTGTTTTTTCCCCAGAAGGTGACATTTTTCTGCATACTCCGCAACAAATATGGTTGTTTGTTTGTTTGTTTGTTTGTTTGCCTCTATTCTACAGATTGTTGTAAGTTACAAGTTGTTCAATGTCTGCCCACGTGTTTATCAGTGAATCTCTATGTTATCTTGCATAGCAGTTTTATTTTTTTGCAATGTTATACTATATCAACTCCTCTTGTTCATCTCTTCCCTCTCCTACCCTCCTCTGTGACAGTGCATTCAGCAGCTGCACCTCTCCAACATCTGTATAACGAGGCAAGGCCCACCTTAGACTCACGTACAGTCACGATACAACCACAAAAACTGCAGCCTTCGTTACAGTCACATCTTCGACTCGATTCCAGGTTTGATGCGACCCAAAATGAGGCAGCTCAACCTCTTCGCATTATGCAACCTTCAGAACAGTCACATCCCCCTTCAAATTCACCCTTCAGTGCGACAGCCAACCAGCTTCCACCTCTGACCAGTTTTCCAACGGCCAGAGCTCCGATTGGTGCGGTTCCGTACCTCTCTGAACAATCTGCACCGACTCAACCACTCTCTCAATCTGTGCTTGTTACGGGGTTACCAGGTCAGTTGTTACCAGGTAGGTTGTTACATAGCGGGCTATTACAAGCTGGGTCATCATTTCTACAAGGTGGTTCATTATTACAAGGTGATTCATTACAAGGTGGGTTGTCACAAAGTGGGTTGTTACAGGGTGAATTGTTACAAGGTGGGATTTTACCGAGTGGGTTGTTAAAGGGTGGGCTGTTGCAGGGTGGGTTAGAAGAGTTGTTACGAGGCAGAGCATTCCCAAGGGGGCCGTTTCCAGGTCAACAGTTACCAGCAGGAGGGTTACAAGCAGGAGCGTTGCAAGCAGGAGGGTTACCAGCAGGAGGGTTACCAGCAGAAGGGTTACCAGCAGGAGGGTTACCAGCAGGAGGGTTACCAGCAGGAGGGTTACCAGCAGGAGGGTTGGTAGCAGGAGGGTTACCAGCAGGAGGGTTGGTAGCAGGAGGGTTACCAGCAGGAGGGCTGGAAGCAGGAGGGCTATCAGGAGGGGGGTTACTAGGAGGGTTACTAGGCGGAGGGTTACCAAGAGGAGGGTTACCAGGAGGAGGGTTACCAGTGGGAGTGTTTCCAGCAGGAGGGTTACCTACAGAAGGGTTACCAGTGAGAGGGTCACGAGCAGGAGGGTTACAGGGAGGGATACCAGGAGGGGGGCTACCCACAGGAAGGTTATCAGCAGGGGCGTTTCCAATTGGAGGGTTACCAGAGGGTTTAGGAGGAGGAGTAGGAGGAGGAGGAGGAGGAGGAGGAGGAGGAGGAGGAGGAGGAGGAGGAGGAGGAGGAGGAGGAGGAGGAGGAGGAGGAGGAGGAGGAGGAGGAGTTGGAGGACGGAGGGGAGGAGTAACACTCTCGCAAAAACGCAGGATTTTTTCACAAGAAACGATATCCATGCAACAAAAGGGGTCAGTGCAAGAAAGGGGGTCGATGCAAGAAAGAGGATCGATGCAAGAGAGGGGATCGATGCAAGAGAGGGGATCGATGCAAGAGAGGGGATCGATGCAAGAGAGGGGATCGATGCAAGAGAGGGGTTCGGTGTGCTATCCGGTTGCTCCTGGCTGGTCCTTACAAAGTGAAGTGATTCCCTCAAATGATGACCGGCGAAACAATATGACTGGAAACGGAGGGGCAGCAGGTTTTGCGCCGGGAGAAGCAGGAAGAAGGGACGAGGCAGCAGGGAGCTTGGGAAGGGAGCTTCAGCGATTGAGATCGTTTCCGTTCAGATCTAACGGTCAAGATCGATCCCTGAATCCTGACTCTTCCCCGCGACCACTTCTTTCCACACGGCCAATCCGACCTTTAACTACTTCCGGCCAAACTGATATTAGACCTTCCGGCCAAACTGATATTAGACCTTTACGTCCTCGTTATAAGCCCTTGGCGATATCCACAGGATCGAACACCAGCGGCAGCAGCAGCAGTCACTTGGCTGGGGCGCCACGGCAGGGGCAGCCAATGAATGCCAGCCACGTGGCAGTGGCAGGAACAGTGGATGTGCTAGGGCAGGTGCATGGGGCATTGGGGGAGGAATGTGGGGGGAAAGCAGGGGGGAGAGGGGAGCTGGTGGGGGAAGGAGGAGAGAAAGAAGGGGTGGTGGTGGGAGACGGGAAGGAAGGAGGGGAGCAAGGGGGGTTGGTGGGGGAAGGGGGGAAGGAAGGGGCAGTGGGAGGGGAGTCGGTGGAGGAAAGGGGAGGGGAAGGAGGGGAGGAAAAGGGGGTGGTGGCGCGAGGAGGGAATGCAAGTGCCACTGAGGCGGGGAAAGGTGCATCTGATGATTCTCGACGAAACAGGAGGTGAGAGCTGTTGCTTCTCTTCTCCCTATCCTTCCACTTCTCTCGTCCCTGCTCTTTTCACTCTCCTATTTCATATCTCCTCCTTTCGTCCCTTTCCTCTCACCTCTGTCCTCTCACCTCTCTTCTGAGTATGTGTTTTGCTTATGAATTTGCTATCCTGATCTTCATGCGTGTGTTTCTTTTAATTGGTGATTCTCGACGAGCAGGCTGCTGAGAAACAGGGTGAATGCGCAGCAAACAAGGGAGAGGAAACGACAACGCATGGAGGTAGGTGATATTGAATCAAGCACGCACAATGGTGCTGTATGCCTGATGTATGAAGTAATGCTTTGAGACGTCTCAAAGCATGACTTCAAACGCATGGGGGTAGGTGATAGTGAATTAGGCACGCACAATGGTGATGTATGCCTGATTATGGCGACAGAAGCATGCATGCATTCATATCCTGGCATGGGCTTCGTGCCTGTGTCACTATGTTGGTCGCACTCTTGACAAAAGAAGTAGCAAAAGTGAGACCAACATGAGAGAAATCTCAGAAGTAACACCAACATATCCTGGCATGGGCTCCGTGCCTGTGTCACTATCCTGACAGGAACTGTCTGAAATTCACTCCAATTCAGGCGCTATACATGCCTCGCATTGTTTCTGAGAATTCTCAAAAAGAATCTGCACCAATTTAGGCACTACACATGCCTCAATCTGTGTGTGTGTGTGTGTGTGTGTGTGTGTGTGTGTGTGTGTGTGTGTGTGTGTGTGTGTGTGTGTGTGTGTGTGTGTGTGTGTGTGTGTGTGTTTTTTTTGTTCCTTTTACCCTACCTCATTCTCTTCCTGTAATATCCCATCATGCCATGCGATGCCACGCCACATTACACTGTGCTACTTCTTCATTCGCGTGATTATCAGGGCCTAAAGGAGGAGTGTGAGGCGAAGGAGAGGGAGAACGAGCAGCTGGAAGGCAGGATAGCGGCAGTGCAGCAGGTGAGGGAGGGGTAAGAAGGGAGGACAGTGCAGCAGGTGAGTGGGGGCAACGCGGGGTAAGTGTGATGCCATGCCAAGCCATACGGTGTTATATTATCACATGAACAATAGGGCCTAAAGGAGGAGTGCCATGCCATGCCATGCCACGCCTAAAGGAGGAGTGCCATGCCATGCCATGCCACGCCTAAAGGAGGAGTGCCATGCCATGCCATGCCACGCCTAAAGGAGGAGTGCCATGCCATGCCATGCCACGCCTAAAGGAGGAGTGCCATGCCATGCCATGCCACGCCTAAAGGAGGAGTGCCATGCCATGCCATGCCACGCCTAAAGGAGGAGTGCCATGCCATGCCATGCCACGCCTAAAAGAGGAGTGCCATAGGACAGATAAGGAGTGTGAGGCGAAGGAGAGGGAGAAGGAGCAGCTGGAAGGAAGCATAGCGGCAGGTGAGGGTCGACGCTGCATGTGAGGGTCGACGCTGCAGGTGAGGGTCAACGCTGCATGTGAGGGTCAATGCTGCAGGTGAGGGTTAACGCTGCAGGTGAGGGTCAACGCTGGATGTGAGGGTCAACGCTGCAGGTGAGGGTCAACGCTGCAGGTGAGGGTCAACGCTGCATGTGAGGGTCAACGCTGCAGGTGAGGGTCAACGCTGCATGTGAGGGTCAACGCTGCAGGTGAGGGTCAACGCTGCATGTGAGGGTCAACGCTGCATGTGAGGGTCAACGCTGCAGGTGAGGGTCAACGCTGCATGTGAGGGTCAACGCTGCAGGTGAGGGTCGACGCTGCAGGTGAGGGTCAACGCTGGAGGTGAGGGTCAACGCTGCAGGTGAGGGTCAACGCTGCAGGTGAGGGTCGACGCTGCAGGTGAGGGTCGACGCTGCAGGTGAGGGTCGACGCTGCATGTGAGGGTCAACGCTGCATGTGAGGGTCAACGCTGCAGGTGAGGGTTAACGCTGCATGCGAGGGTCAACGCTGCAGGTGAGGGTCAACGCTGCATGTGAGGGTCAACGCTGCAGGTGAGGGTCAACGCTGCAGGTGAGGGTCAACGCTGCATGTGAGGGTCAACGCTGCAGGTGAGGGTAAACGCTGCAGGTGAGGGTCAACGCTGCATGTGAGGGTCAACGCTGCAGGTGAGGGTCAACGCTGCAGGTGAGGGTCAACGCTGGAGGTGAGGGTCAACGCTGCAGGTGAGGGTCAACGCTGCATGTGAGGGTCGACGCTGCAGGGGAGGGTCGACGCTGCATGCGAGGGTCAACGCTGCAGGTGAGGGTCAACGCTGCATGTGAGGGTCAACGCTGCAGGTGAGGGTCAACGCTGCAGGTGAGGGTCAACGCTGCATGTGAGGGTCAACGCTGCAGGTGAGGGTAAACGCTGCAGGTGAGGGTCAACGCTGCATGTGAGGGTCAACGCTGCAGGTGAGGGTCAACGCTGCAGGTGAGGGTCAACGCTGGAGGTGAGGGTCAACGCTGCAGGTGAGGGTCAACGCTGCAGGTGAGGGTCGACGCTGCAGGGGAGGGTCGACGCTGCAGGTGAGGGTCAACGCTGCAGGTGAGGGTCAACGCTGCAGGTGAGGGTCAGCGCTGCAGGTGAGGGTCAGCGCTGCAGGTGAGGGTCAACTCTGCATGTGAGGGTCAACGCTGCATGTGAGGGTCAACGCTGCAGGTGAGGGTCAACGCTGCATGTGAGGGTCAACGCTGCAGGTGAGGGTCAACGCTGCATGTGAGGGTCAACGCTGCAGGTGAGGGTCAACGCTGCATGTGAGGGTCAACGCTGCAGGTGAGGGTCAACGCTGCATGTGAGGGTCAACGCTGCATGTGAGGGTCAACGCTGCAGGTGAGGGTCAACGCTGCATGTGAGGGTCAACGCTGCATGTGAGGGTCAACGCTGCAGGTGAGGGTCAACGCTGCATGTGAGGGTCAACGCTGCAGGTGAGGGTCGACGCTGCAGGTGAGGGTCAACGCTGGAGGTGAGGGTCAACGCTGCAGGTGAGGGTCAACGCTGCAGGTGAGGGTCGACGCTGCAGGTGAGGGTCGACGCTGCAGGTGAGGGTCGACGCTGCATGTGAGGGTCAACGCTGCATGTGAGGGTCAACGCTGCAGGTGAGGGTTAACGCTGCATGCGAGGGTCAACGCTGCAGGTGAGGGTCAACGCTGCATGTGAGGGTCAACGCTGCAGGTGAGGGTCAACGCTGCAGGTGAGGGTCAACGCTGCATGTGAGGGTCAACGCTGCAGGTGAGGGTAAACGCTGCAGGTGAGGGTCAACGCTGCATGTGAGGGTCAACGCTGCAGGTGAGGGTCAACGCTGCAGGTGAGGGTCAACGCTGGAGGTGAGGGTCAACGCTGCAGGTGAGGGTCAACGCTGCATGTGAGGGTCGACGCTGCAGGGGAGGGTCGACGCTGCATGCGAGGGTCAACGCTGCAGGTGAGGGTCAACGCTGCATGTGAGGGTCAACGCTGCAGGTGAGGGTCAACGCTGCAGGTGAGGGTCAACGCTGCATGTGAGGGTCAACGCTGCAGGTGAGGGTAAACGCTGCAGGTGAGGGTCAACGCTGCATGTGAGGGTCAACGCTGCAGGTGAGGGTCAACGCTGCAGGTGAGGGTCAACGCTGGAGGTGAGGGTCAACGCTGCAGGTGAGGGTCAACGCTGCAGGTGAGGGTCGACGCTGCAGGGGAGGGTCGACGCTGCAGGTGAGGGTCAACGCTGCAGGTGAGGGTCAACGCTGCAGGTGAGGGTCAGCGCTGCAGGTGAGGGTCAGCGCTGCAGGTGAGGGTCAACTCTGCATGTGAGGGTCAACGCTGCATGTGAGGGTCAACGCTGCAGGTGAGGGTCAACGCTGCATGTGAGGGTCAACGCTGCAGGTGAGGGTCAACGCTGCATGTGAGGGTCAACGCTGCAGGTGAGGGTCAACGCTGCATGTGAGGGTCAACGCTGCAGGTGAGGGTCAACGCTGCATGTGAGGGTCAACGCTGCATGTGAGGGTCAACGCTGCAGGTGAGGGTCAACGCTGCATGTGAGGGTCAACGCTGCAGGTGAGGGTCGACGCTGCATGTGAGGGTCGACGCTGCAGGTGAGGGTCAACGCTGCAGGTGAGGGTCAACGCTGCATGTGAGGGTCAACGCTGCATGTGAGGGTCAACGCTGCATGTGAGGGTCAACGCTGCATGTGAGGGTCAACGCTGCATGTGAGGGTCAACGCTGCATGTGAGGGTCAACGCTGCATGTGAGGGTCAACGCTGCATGTGAGGGTCAACGCTGCAGGTGAGGGTCAACGCTGCATGTGAGGGTCAACGCTGCAGGTGAGGGTCAACGCTG